ACTACAAGACCCTGGGAAAGTTCGATGCACAAAAGCAGGCTTTGGTTTCCAAGTGGAAGGCTGACAAGAGTTGCAAGTGGTACAGCAGCTACTCTGAGTCCTTTGAGAAGACCAGTGCCTCCAAGAAGCAGGGTGCTGTTGGCTGGTCGACAAGGCCAGCTGGGAACCAAAGTTTGTTTTTTCCACTTTTATTGCTAATCCCTCTTCCCTCCTCAGGTGGGAAATTGCCAATGAGATGCATCGAAATCCAGGCTCCCCATCTTTCAAGGAACTTTTGGACACTTTGGAAAGCAGCTCTGAGAAGTGGGATGAGTCTTTGCCGCAAGAAAAGTTCCTCAAGGACAAAGGTGAGAAGAAGTACTTCTGGTCTAGTGCCAGTGGCTTGGCCAAGTTTGAAGAAGTTGAGAAGCACAGCGAAGAGTTCTCTTCCAGCGTGGGTGGCTACGACTCCAAAGGTGGCAAGCCCAAGGGTGGAGCCACAGGGGACTCTTCTGAGGAGCAAGCCAAGTACCCTGTTTACACCGAGCTCAAGGAGAAAGTGGGAGAAGCTGCCACTGTGAGTCGCTGCTTGTCAGATTCAGATTTGCTAGTTGTATATTATTTGAACTGTTGATACTGATCCTTCTTTAGCATTTTCTTCACTCAGGCTCTTTGGCTTCCTCCTGCGACAAGTTGCAAGACAACCTTGCTTTGGCTGTGGCCAAGTTTGGAGTAGCGCAAGATTCTTTGAGGAAGATTGTAGATGATGCTGTGGATGGCAATCAAAAAGCCAAGCAGAGATTTGCTGAGTTGGTCTGCTTGAAGCCTGAAGAGGCTCAAGAGATTCATCAGAAGGAAGCGATTGATTTGGTGGAAGCCTTGCAAGCCCACAAGCAGGCTGTGGCTCAGGCACAGAAGAAGTGTACAGCTTTGTTGAACTAAGTAAGTTTTGGCTGCGGTTGGGCGTCTCAGAGAGCTGTGTTAGCTTTAGCTTTTCTCTGTGGTCAAAAAAACCCAACTGCGCAGTGCATTTCACATTCTGAGTTGGCGAGGGTCACTAGTAGCATTGTCTTTTCAGGCACTCTTCTTTGCAGTCCTGTGTCAACCACCTCTGCCACCCAGCGCTTAAGGCTCTCAATTGTTCACCAACTGTTTTTTCTTGCAGCTATGGCAGCTGCATTCAAGCAATTACTTTTGTGGCTGCTCTAGCTGGATGTGCTCCCTTGTTCAGCCATGTTTCACATTCACAACAAGAAGACAGGCGATATAGAATCCCTTTCGCCCACCAAGGTGTTGAGACAACATGTGCGCAGCCTCTATTTAAACAATAAACTTTCTGGACAAGAGGCAGAAAATTTCAAGCTGAGATTGCAGAGTGCAAAGTGCCTGGCTTCAAGGTCAGAAAAGGCTTCTTGAAAAACAGACAAGTTTCCCAACAAGCCAGCAGGAATCTTTTGAGGAGAAGCTTGAAGCACAGCCAGTGGCCTCCAATCTATGCCCATGAAATCAAAGTTTTTGACCCCAAGAAACAGATCGAATGTTTGGCCAAAGTGGCTTTCATGCTTCCACATGAAATTCTTTTCGCTTTAGGTGACTTCAACACTGCTGAAACCCTTACAGTACTATCTTCTGCCACTGAATCTGTACAGAAACATTGCTTGGAAGCTCAAAGTCAATGGGGAGTACCAGTAGCAGCCTTAGGGCTCTGGAGCGATGGTACTCCATTCAACTGGGAGAGAAGTAAATCCTTGGAATTGTTATTGATCAATTTTCCAGGCCTGGACAGCACATGGAGGTTCCCAATAGCTGCAATTCCTCATGAACATATCTCTAAGGATGTCACTTTCGAGGATATTTTTTCATTGGTGGCTTGGTCTTTCCAGCAATGTGCTGTGGGCAAAATGCCTTTCCAAAGGCATGATGGTAGTCCATGGACTTCTAACGACACCTGGAGGAAGAAGAGGGCTGGAAAGCCTTTGCCATGCAAAGCTGTTTTAGCTGAGGTGAGAGCAGATTGGAAGTGCATGAGCGAAGTTTTTCATTTGCCTCATTGGCAAAACACACTGGGAATTTGCTGTAAATGTTCTGCCACTCTTGGTAATTTCAAAGATTTTTCTTCTCTGGCTTCCAAGATCTGAAAGGCTGAACCATTGGCAATTCTTGGAGAGGCAATTATTGCAGGGCAAGAAAGTCAGTGCCATCTACCATTGTCCTTTGTTCTCTACTTCTTGCTTTAAGATTGATTGGCTGCACACAATGGACCTTGGAGTCTCCTGCGATACATTGGGCAACCTCTGCTGGCATTTGTTGCCTAAGTTCGCAGGTAAAAGATCTGACCAAGTGGCAGCTTTGTTTTTGACCATGAAAGATTTTTACACGAGGAACAATGTGGAAACCAGATTGTTCAACCTCACTGAGAAGATGATCAGGTCATCAGCCAAGACAAGCCCTAAGCTCAAGACCAGGGCTGGTGAGACCAGGGCATTGGTACCCTGGGCTTGGGAAATTGCGCAGACTATGCTTGATCAGCTGGATCCTTTTGAGCAGGCAATTTTTTTTGCCATCAAGTATTTGCACCAGGCCTACCAGTGCTTGAGTAAGAAGAACTTCCAGCACCAACACTTCCACGATGTTTGTTTCAAATTCCTTTTACAATACCAAGCCTTGGAATTTTTGGCTCCAGAATACACTTGGTACATCAAACCCAAGTTCCATGGAATGGCTGAGCTTGCTCTAGCATTTGACAATCCAAGTATGAATTGGGTATACAGGGATGAAGAAGCAGGTGGCACACTGGCTCGGTTGGGTAGAAGCAAGGGCAACCTGCAAACCCCTTGGTCTGTGTCAATTAATGTTCTGCAAAGATTTGCTGCAGAGTTTTCTGTGCCTGCTTTTTGAAAAAAGAGCTGCTGCCATGCACCTGAAAAGCAAAAACTTAAAGTGCACCTCTTCCAATTGGAAAAACAAAAATATGTTCTTTTCTTTAAATCAGCTAGGGGGAGGAAGGGAGGATCAAAAATAAAAAAAAAAACAAAATATATTTTTAAAACAAATATAATCTTTAAAACGTATTTTACAAAACAAAAAAAGGCCAGAGGGAGGATGGAAGGGAAAAAAAGTACAGGTCTAATAAAAAAATAGACCTGTACTCATTGAAAAAAAAGTTTAGGACTATAGTCTGAACTACAGGCTTAAAGCCCTTAATCCAGACTATTGGTCTATCAGGGATATTATGGAACATCTGAATAGATGTAAAACTTCTATTTGAGCAGAGGGTGGTAGCAGGGTCCAGAGTCTACCACCAACGAAGACACTCTGGCTTCGCTGGTGATACATGGCCTGATCAGCCATGCGTACCTGCATTTTTCATCATTTTTCACTGCAATGGCAACCGGCTAAGCCAAGAACCGGTATGTCGAACAATTGGTTTCTGTTTTTCCTATTTCGCCGCACCTGTTGTTGCAATCTGTCAACTAATTCTTCTAGCACTGGACATGGCGTACCTTTTCGAATTTTCTCGGGTCTGTTCATCGACCCATTCCTGTCAGGTGTATTTGAAGTGTTTTTGCGCGTAAAATGCATTCCACATCAGAATTCGCAAAGACTGTTCTGAGCAAGTGTGTGATTGATGCTGGATTCGTCACGGTGGCATGAACCCCTCGGGGAATGGCTTGTCTAAGCAGGAGAGCGAAGCAACGACTTGATCTCTGAATTTACATTTTTCAACTTAGTAATTCGTTTAAGTAATGTGCAACAATGGGCCATTTTTCGATTTTCACTCTGTCGCCTGTCGACGTGTTGAACAACTGCCCGCTGTACCAGGGACTCACCTTTTTGATGGAGAGTAGTTGCATAGCCTGAAGCCGCGTCAACAATTTCCTTTCACTGCTCCTCAAGTGACTGACGGACAATACAAGTGATCACATGTCATGTGCATGAAAGGCGCAGGCATGTGCATGAAAGGCGCAGGCCATGCTTGCAGGTATGGTGCCTCTTTCCTTGATGGTTTCTGGTACGCTTCAAATGTGCATGTAATTCATCTGACTTCTGACAGCCGTTTATGGGGTTGACTCGACCAGGAGGCCATTGTGCCTGAACAGGGGGCTCTGCATGATTTGTGGGTGCATCATTTCACTAACTAGTTCCCCATGGGCCCCGGTTCTGCGCTTGCTTAGGTAGGTTTCCCTGTGGTAGGTTGGTTTAGGCGCTTCCGTCCTTCCCCCCCCTCCGCTGGTCTTGTTCCGTGTCCGTCGGCCTCCGCTTTTCTTTCCCCTTGCCCTTTCAGGGTTTGCCCGCTTTGGGCCAGGTTTGCGTGTGTTGGTGTTTGCTCCTTCCCTCTTCTTTTGCGTTCCCCTCTTCGCGTCCTGGTGAAGTAACTTTCATCTCATTTTCATCGTCTACCACCAACGAAGACACTCTGGCTTCCCTGGTGGTACATGGCCTGATCAGCCATGCGTACCTGCATTTTTCATCATTTTTCACTGCAATGGCAACCGGCTAAGCCAAGAACCGGCATGTCGAACAATTGGTTTCTGTTTTTCCTATTTCGCTGCACCTGTTGTCGCAATCTGTCAACTAATTTCTTCTAGCACTGGACATGGTGTGCCTTTTCGAATTTTCTCGGGTCTGTTCATCGACCCATTCCTGTCAGGTGTATTTGAAGTGTTTTTGCACGTAAGATGCATTCCACATCAGAATTCGCAAAGACTGTTCTGAGCAAGTGTGTGTGTGTTTAAAGAAAAAGAAACCTTTTAAAATGGTCCAACATGGTACTTCTCAACGTGCTCCTGGGTGCGGGTGCTGGACTTCACCAGCGCCATGGCTCTCAAAGACTTGCCTCCGCGAACCAAGCGAGAAATCATGGACCAAATGGCTGCGGCATGCGGCGACACGCAACCTGTAATTCAAAGGGAAGCAAACATGTGCAAACCTGTAATTCGGAAGGAAGCATATGGAAGCAAAATGAAGCAAACGCCATGAAACAAAAATTGCTAGAACCTGGGAAGAACACCCTTTGCGACTTTTCTGTTCCCATTTGTCGGGTACCTGATCTTAGAAAACGGAGCCGTTGCGATTCCAACCCAATGTTTTCGAGAGAAGCTGCGTCTTATTCATCTAAATTGATGCCCAATGTAGTTGTTTCTAAGGTTCAAGTCCGTCTTGCCAATGGATGGGCATTGGGAGCTCCTCGATCTGTTCAGCTTTGACTGGGCCATGCTGCGTTGATCTGTCAGCTATGAATCTGTTTGAATCTGGAGGCTGTAGCTGATGAAAGCCATCAAGGCCATCCAGGTCTTTCGATGTCTTTCGCATTTGCAGCACAGGTTGGTGTTGGATGTTCTTGGTCTTGGTGAACTGTGAGAATCAACAACTCTCCTTGACCAAAGTCTTGAAAGGCTGCTGCCATCACCATCCTTCTTGTTCGTCTTCCGGATCAGCATGTTTGTTGTCAAAAATCTTCACCACCTGACATCAAGTGAAAAACTCACAGTAGCATACAGCAGCCGCGCTTCAGTATCCAGGAGTTTACGGGCTCTGGTATGCTAAATGTATCTATATAAATATGATATTGTTAGATCAGTTCCAACAACAACTGTGTTGATGCATTATATGCATGTTCATGCAACCGGCAGTCTGCACACTTCTGTACCTCCATCTGACCAGCCCCTTCAGCATCTTCGTATGCCGTAATCCCTCTGTAGTCGACTGCGTTTTCTGATCGGAAGTCAGGATGACCTTGGGCGCTTGGGTGCATGTGATTCAAAGGGCCAAGGATGTGCCAAGGTGATCGGCGGACATTATAAGCTCAAGGAGTATCGAAGAGTATCGAATGCGAAGAAATGGGATTGGCACAAAGTAATGATCTCTGCATTATGTGCGAATCAAATCGAGTCAAGCCACCAAGAATGGCCTTGCAGGCTTCTCCCAGTCCACCACTGGCTGCCCAATGTAGAGCAGTTTTCCCGAGATTGTCCTGACAAAGAACCACAGTGATAGGGAGTCCTTGATTCTCGTGGCTAGAACCTGAGTAGATTTCCAATTGTTATATTAATTTATTGCAACCGGATTTATCATGATTCATCCCAGGGTGCCCTACTGTGCTCCTGCACGTTAATGGATTTGAACTCTGGATTTGCCAAAACGTCCAAGGCCGCTGCTTCATCCCCTGCTTCCAACGCTCTGTGGAGGGCAGTTTGGCCGCTGCTGTCAGTTCCATTGATTCCTTCTCCGACTGCATCCAGTGCAAACTGGAGACGCAGAGGTCTCCCATTCAATAATGGCAGCAAGTCAGCACTCGTTAAGTGAGCTGTCGGCGTGTCACCCACTGCCAAAACAGTTGCTCCATCCTTCACACCCTGATTATCCCAAAATTCTCGTCTATCTTTCTTAACTTTTCTCACACGAGGTGGCGCTGAATCATCAGCATAGAAGGTCAAGCCAACTGGCCCTGGGTCAATGAGAATAACTTCGGAATTTGCACCTGGCACAAGCTTTCCTTCCTTCAAATGTCGCTCAGTTTCCTCCATGGCTTGTCGCTCTGCCTCGCGAGCAGCTGCCTCTGCCATTTCCTGGCCCTTCAAAAGGGCATGCTGCTCAAGTTTCCAATGCTCCGCGGTCTCCTCCGCAAGGGCCGGAAGGAACAACAGTCCGTCTGCTACACTCAAGGGCAAGCAACACACAGCAACCAAGACAAACCTTGTTTTCCCATGTTTTCCCAAAGTATTATACTAGTATTGTCTGAAGATGTCAGAAGTTGCAGCATTAACAGTAGCAGCAGTGGCGGCAGCGGCGGCGGCAGCAGCAGCAAGAAGCATTAGCAACAGCTAGAGGTGCTGTGGAGGCTCCAAGATGCAATTTTGATCAATTTTGGAGTATCGGTTGGGCATCGGCTGGGGTATCTGTGAATTGGTTGCACATGTCCGCAATCAGTAGATGGCACCTACAAACTGAAGACAAACACAAACAGTTTTGCGTCAGGATCAAACCCGACCTGGAGATACAAGCACAGGAAAACCCCAAATCCTTCCCCCAGTCAATTCCACAGGAGCACAATACACCACCCCAAGAAGCAAACTGACTTGTTCACTTGTTCCCCACATCTTTGTGTGGGGTTCTTGTTTTTGGTTGTGCGCTCCTGCCTGCCTCCTCCCGCCTGCCTCCTCCCGCCTGCCTCCTCCCGCCGCCCGCCGCCTGCCCACACACAACTTGCTCACACACAACTACACACAACTTGCTCACACACACAACTTACTTACACATAACTTCTCCACATACAACTTGCTCACACACACACATTCTCCACACACAACTTGTCACCACACAACTTACTCCCACACAACTTGTCCACACACAACTTACTCCCACACAACTTCTCCACACACAACTTGTCACCACACAACTTGCTCACAAACAACTTACTCACACACAACTTGTCACCACACAACTTACTCACACACAACTTGTCACCACACAACTTACTCACACATAACTTCTCCACATACAACTTGCTCACACGCACACATTCTCCACACACAACTTGCTCACACACCACTTACTCTCACACACACACAATTTGTCCACAAGGACAACTTGTCACCACACAACTTGCTCAGACACAACTTACTCACACACACAACTTGTCCACACACAACTTGTCCACACAACTTGTCACCACACAACTTACTCACACATAACTTCTCCACACACAACTTGCTCACACACACACAACTAGCTCACACACCACTTACTCGCACACACACACAACTTGTCAAACACAAGGCGTGACACTTGGCGACATGGATCGTTGCGTGGCAGGCGTGGCACTTGGTGACATGGACGTGCATTCTGCGTGGCAGGCGTGGCACTTGGTGACATGGACGTGCATTCTGCGTGGCAGGCGTGGCGCTTGGTGACATGGACGTGCATTCTGCGTGGCAGGCGTGGCACTTATGGCACTGGGCTGGCTCTGGTGGCGCGCTTGGTTCCCAGTTGACGCCGTGGGCGCCGCGGCTGTTTGCGTGGCAGGCGTGGCGCTTGGTGATATGGACGCGCATTCTGCGTGGCAGGCGTGGCACTTATGGCACTGGGCTGGCGCGTGGCGCTTGCCGACATCGACCCTCACTTTGCGTGGCACGTGTGGCACTTGGTGACATGGACATGCACTTTGCGTGGCACGCGTGGCACGCGTGGCACGCGAGGCACTTATGGCATTCCCAGTTGACGCCGTTGGCACCGCGGCTGCTTGCGTGGCAGGCGTAGCACTTGGCGACATCGACCTTCACTTTGCGTGGCAGGCGTGGCGCTTGGCGACATGGACGTTCGACATGGACGTTCACCTTCCGTGCCAGGCGTGGCACTTATGGCACTGGACTGGCTCTGGTGGCGCGCTTGGTTCCCGGTTGACGCCGTGGGCGCTGCGGCTGTTTGCGTGGCAGGCGTGGCACTTGGCGACATCGACCGTCACTTTGCGTGGAAGGCGTGGCATGGCGTGGCACTTGGCGACATCGACGTGCATTCTGCGTGGCTGGCGTGGCACTTGGCGACATCCACCTTCACTTTGCGTGGCAGGTGTGGCACTTAGCGACATCCACCTACGTTTTGCGTGGCAGGCGTGGCACTTGGTGACATCCACGTCGCAAGTGAGTGCATCTCTCTCAAATACGACATTGGCCCACCATGTCATACCCAATTTTCACACACATCTCTCTCACATGCAACTTCTCTCTCACACACATCTTTGTCACACACAGCTTTGTCACACACACACACAACTTTGTCACACACGACTCTTTCACACACACGCAACTTTCTCACACACAACTCTTTCACACCCAACTGTAAGCAACTTTGCCACAAACAATCTTTCACACACAACTTTGTCACACACACAATCTTGCACACACACAACTTTGACACACAGCTTTGTCACAAACAACTTTGTCATACACGACTCTTTCACACACACACAACTTTGTCACAGACAATCTTTCACACACAACTCTTTCACTCACAATCTTTCACACACACACACAACTCTTTCACTCACAACCTTTCACACACACACACACAACTCTTCACATACAACTCTTAAAATGGTCGACCCTCCACCATCTCCTTTGTCCTTTCTTCTTTCTCCATGCCACTTCAACCACTTTTTCTGATTATTGGATGAAGTTGACTTGTGGGGTTATCCGGTCCTTTAATTTGATTTTCAGCTCGCATCAGCTCGCTGAAACATTGAACACGACTACAGACATCTAAAAGTAAACTTAAAAACGACCAAAGTATCGGTAAGTGGGTGGCCCCCTATCGGCTGTGAAGGTTCAACGCAAATTGGAATATCTCAAGCCCACTCCAGCCGCTGTGGGCTGACGCGGGCACGGTGCAGAGGCCCAGGTGGACGGAAAATTGACGCCACAGCGAGTCACGCCCGGAGCTGACCGCCCACCGGCAGGCTGCCGATTGGCAGGAAAATCCGGTGACGGTCAGCAACCGAAGGATAGAAATGGAAAGTCAGCAAAACGGAAGCACAGGCTGGTCGGAGGACCCGCTCATGCAAAAGACCGTCGACACCACCAAGGCCAAAAAGAAGGAAAACTGGGCCAAGGAGTGAGCTAATTACACTCCATACTACTTTTGGCTTTCCAAACATTAAGGATAGATAGTATTATTTCGGACTAGATTATAACTATACATTTAGTACTGTAAATTAACCATATAAATCCATATAAATCCATACAATATAATATATATATAATATTAATATATTATCTCAGCACTATCGATGGGCACAGCTGAATCGTAGAATCATTGCTGAAGCGTTAATTGTAAAGGTGCCTGATGAAGCATCAGCTGCAATTGCTGCTGCTGCACATTCAGCGCCAGGGCCCTCTTCTCTGCTTCCATTTCTTGCTCCTCAGAAGGCCCAAGGGACTGCTGAATATGTGCTTGATTGATAGTGATTTTAAACTGTTTTACACACATCTACCACGCTTGGAAAATCAGTTGATCGCTCAGGCGTTCAGAAGATGTTCCAAGTTTCTACTAGAACTGCTTCATGGTGTCCCAAAAGTCGCAGGCACACAGAACTCTAGGTAATGACAACAAGCGGCTCCAAAATGATCGAGAATAGTTAAACAAAATAATGCACAATACTTTGAATTTCTCTTGGGGGATGTGTCCTTTGTCCCGGCTCCTCGTCGCGCAGTCGCTGACGTTGGCTCATCTCCAGGTTTCGCCACGATTCAATTTGGCGACCTCAACTGTGCCCGTGATTGTCCGTGTCACAGAACCGGCAAGCACCAAGTTCTCACTCGGATTTACCAGGTTCCAGGCTCATGTTCTTCTCATCAAAATCGAGCTGTCGCTGAGTCATTTCCAATTGGTACTCTTCGGATTCGTACCAATGCCGCATTTCCTGCGTCTTAGCACGAGGATTAAAAAAGGTTGAGCCATATGGAGACACGGAAAAAAGAACCGCTCAAGCCAACGCATGTTGCAGCTCTCCCCCGCTACCTCTTGCTAGAGTGCCTGCACCACTGCACAATTCCTTTAGTTTGAACGGGTCGGACCCAATCTGTTCTAAAGTCACTGGGGCCAAGATGGGCCAACATCTGCACATTCACATCCACTACACATGGGTTCTCCTGTGACATTTGCTGCTGACCTTGCTGCCGTTCCAGCACCTGTGCTTTCAACCGAGCAGCTTGCCCTTCTTCCTCACAAATTTCAAATGCTTAGCTGGCAAAGAGAAGTGTCATGAAGTCATGAAGCTGTCTACCGTCCTCTTTCTTATTTAAGATCTTCTTAATCTCTCTCTGCTCAAAGTCCGCCGGCAGGCTATTCCAAGTCCTCATCGATCTCAGCCATAGCCTTTGAGGACTTCAGTTTAAAGACGCGCAGCTGTTCCTGTCATGGCAAATTTGATGTGGTCAGAGTTCCACCTGAGCTGCTACCCTTAGCAGTTCGGTGAGCTCCTGCAGCTTGGAATTCTCTTGGCCCAAGGCAGCAGCTGACCTTTCCTCTGCTTTCAAGTTGGCCTCCACAATCATTACAAACAACACGGGGCAACGAACACAAACCCTGTTTTCAATGTATTGGCAGCATTAGCAATAAGCGGCAGCATCAGCAGTAGCCGCAGTCGCGGTGTATGGATGTTACTGAGGCTCCAAGATGCACTTTGTGCTGCACATGTCCGCAATCAGTGCATCAAATTCAACGCAAACTGTACTGCGTCAGGGTCAAACCTGACGTGAAAACGCAAGCAAAAAAAAACTTCAGAAACCTTCCCACCGTCTCTCTCTCTCTCTCTCTTCTCTCTCTCTCTCTCTCTCTCTCTTCTCTCTCTCTCTCTATCCTTCCCACAGGTTCCCACAGTCAATTCGTTTGTTTTGGAGTTCGCTGAAACAATTGAACGGGACAACATACAAAAACTAGACGACTGCGTGGCCCTAAAGCAAACCAGGAGGCCATTATCTATGACAGAAAGCAATGGCATGATGTTGGTGATGATAATGATGGAGATGATGGTGTTGTTGTTGAACTGTTGTTGATGATGAGGATGATGATGCTGATATTCAAAAGAATTCACGCATAAAAGGTTTACCAAAAAAACTCTTTACAATTCTTTACATCAAACACGTCTACAAGAAATTTTGTCTACGAGTCAACGCAAAGGTTTTTACACACATGTTTGTACACACAGATGTTTTGACACACCGAAACTTTGCACAGAGATGTTTTTACACAGAGAAAACTTATGAAAACTGTTTGCATGAAGCTCTGACACACAGATGCCGCTTTTACACTCAGGTCTCAGGTGCTTTTATACACAAATGCGTTTACACACAGGCGTTGTTACGCAAATAAGACTTTGATACATAGAAAGTCTTGACACACCGGACTTACGCAGCTGCGCTTTTACACACGAAGGTTTTTAGAAGCAGAAAATGAAGATGATGGAGGAGCAAAAGAAAAACATGATGGTGACAATAATTACTTTACTTCGTGTGATCCCCACCATGACATTTATACACTTTCTTACTGGCAAATCTTCTGGCATTCTATCTGACATATCTTCTGACATTCTATCTGGCATATCTGGCATATGTTCTGGCATATCTTCTGGCATTCTATCTGGCAAATCTTCTGGCATTCTATCTGGCATATGTTCTTCTGGCATTCTATCTGACATATCTTCTGGCATTCTATCTGGCAAATCTTCTGATTCTATCTGGCATATCTTCTGGCATCTGGCATATCTTCTGGCATTCTATCTGGCATTCTATCTGGCAAATCTTCTGGCATTCTATCTGGCATTCTATCTGACATATCTTCTGGCATTCTATCTGGCATTCTATCTGGCATATCTATTCTATCTGGCATTCTATCTGGCATATCTTCTGGCATATTATCTGGCAAATCTTCTGGGATTCTATCTGGCATATTTTGTGGCATTCTATCTGACATTTTATCTGGCATTCTATTTGGCATACCTTGTGGCATTCTATCTGGCATTCTATCTGACACATCTTCTGGCATATCTTCTGGCATATCTAGTTTGCAAGTAATATATAACATACTTGTCTGACATTCTTTCTAACTTTCTTCTGCACATTCTTTGTCCCATATCTTCCTACATGAGGTCCGGCAGGGAACACTTGGCGTGGATACTCGCGGTTGAGGTCCGGCAGGGAACACTGGGCGTCGGATCGTGGTTGAGGTCCGGCAGGGACACTGGGCGTGGATGGTCGTGGTTGAGGTCCGGCAGGGATGGTCGTGGTTGAGGTCCGGCAGGGAACACTGGCGCTCGTGGTTGAGGTCCGGCAGGGAACACTGGGCGTCGAGAGTCGTGGTTGAGGTCCGGCAGGGCACACTGGGCGTGGATGGTCGTGGTTGAGGTCCGGCAGGGAGCAGGAGGAGAGGAGCAGGAGGAGAGGAGACGAGGAGAGGAGACGAGGAGAGGAGACGAGGAGAGGAGGAGGAGAAGGAGGAGGAGGAGGAGGAGCAAGCAACTGACATAAAATCTAACAACCCTCACCTGGCAGGTGGGGAAAAATGGAGATGATGATTGGCAGCCGCTCTTTGGGAGGAACCCTTCACAGGAGCGTTCGGGAACAAGTTCTAGCCTAAAACCAAATGTCCGTAAGTGGGTGCCCCCTGTTGGCTGTATTCGGCTGTGAGGGTTTTAGTTTTCAATTCTAATTCGAATACCCCAAATCCAATCCATTTTATTTTTGGTTTTCCAATAGTTTTGCCGGCTACCAGTATAGGATTACATAAAACACATGCCAGCACGGTTGAAGTGCATAGTTGAATTGTAGGATCATTGCTGCATCAGGGGGGCAGCGTTAATTGTAAAGGTGCCTGGTGAAGCATCAGCTGCTGTTGCTGCTGCTGCACGTCCAGCGCCAGGGCCCTCTTCTCTGCTTCAATTTCTTGCTCCTCAAAAAACATAAAAACCATTAAAAACCCATAAAAACCCAAGGCACTGCTAAAATCTGCTGAATATGTGCATGATTGGTCGTGATTTGACAAATATTTTACGCATATCTACCATGCTTGGAAAATCAGTTGATCGCTCAGGCGTTCAGAAAATATGCCAGGTTTCCACTCGAACTGCTGAACGGTGGCCCAAAAGCGGCGCAGCTAACAGGATACAATAAGGACATGACGCGCATCGAACTCTTGGTAGTGACACAAGGCGGCTCCAAAATTTCAAGCGCTTTGTTTATCATTAGTGCCCGGCTGTGCCGAGGCGGAAGTTTCGAAAAAGAGCGATGACTACTGACTGTAACAAATCGCTGGCCCGTAGGAATGTTTACGCAATTCAGAAACAATGAAAGATTGAGGATATTGAGGCGGTGAGGGGCACCAATACGCAAACGTCTTTTGAGATGCCAATGGAATGACTGCAAATAATAAAAGCAATGACATGAAAAAATCAATGCACGAATGAATGAATCAGTGAACGGATAAAACAAAATGAAACGAAATAACATGAAATACATTTACAGCAACGAAATGAGATAAAATGAAATGAAATGAAATGAAATGAAACAAACTGGCGTGAAATAAGACTGAAATAGAGCGAAACCAAGATAAGACGTAATGAAAGACATGAAGCTGAGTGAACTGAAACGAAACTAAATGGAAATTACATGAAGTATCATGAAGTTAAATGGAAATGAAGCCGGTATGACATGATATGAAAACGAAATGAAACGAAACAAAACGTACTGAAAGAATGGACGAATGGCAAACTAGTGAACAAATTAAAGGAATGAGTGAGTGGGTGAATGAGTGAATGAATGGAAGAATATAAGAATGAACGAATCAAAAAATGAGTGAATGAACGATGAGTGAGTGGGAGGGTGAGTGAATGAGTGAGTGAATAAACACAAGAACGAATGAATGCATGAATGAAAGCATCAGCAACATGAATGAATGAACGACATAGACGAATAACATTGAATGAAATTACATAAATATACATACATGATCATACATGCAAAAGGGACAATAAAACAAGGACATGAACATGAACATGAAAACAAAAAGAAATTAGCTGAGCTGAAATTCAATGAGATAACGAACGGAATGAAGAATTAATTGACATGCAATGACATGAAGCGAAGTGAAACGAAATAAAATGACAATGCGATGAAATGAAATGCACCGACAAGCGAAGCGCAAAAAAATGAAAATTAAATGAGCATGAAACAAAATGAAATGAAAATGAAAGGCGAGGAAATGAAATGAAACGAAAATTCAATGGAATGAAGTAGAAAAGTGCCAATGGAAATGAACATAAAATGACAGGATAATGGAAACATACATGAACATGACATTACTCAATGATTGGGTGAACTGATGACTGCATGTCTCAATGGCTCAAAGACTCAGTCGGCATCAATCAGCTACTTCTTCGTTGAACTACCCGCTCCCAAAGTCAAGAGTCAAGACTTCTCTTTTTTTAGAAAGACGATGCGCTGTATTACGCAATAAGTACACAAATAAATCAGCATTGCATGGCGTCAAATGTACTAAGTAACTCACGCACAAACCACTGTATTTGCAAAATCATTCACTGAACTCAAGTGCAAACAGACTACAAATCAAAACGTCCAATTTAATATGGTGACTAAACAACAGCAATGCCCAACCAAATATAGTTACGACCATGAATGTCAAAAAACAGTGTAACTATTAAAATATATTAAAATAATTTATGTATTACACTGCACTGTTTTATTGAATGTTGTCATGTGCCTTTTGGCTGAAACTGTTCAAACTGTTTTGTGTCTGTTCGCTATCTTTTTTCACCATTGTTTTCTATTCATGTTTCACCATTTTTCAATTATCCTTAATTTGCTGTGCTGCAATTTTCATCACGGTTCTTCAATCTTCCTCAATGTTCATCGGTTTTCTGCAATGTTCTTCAATTTCTCTTTAAATGACTTCACTTTTCGAAAGAGCATTATTGATGAAAACTGAGGAACTTGATATGTTCCAAACCATGCGACTATATATAAATCCCGCTGTAAGCCACCAGCTGCAGCCCCGCATGGCACAAGAGTCGCCTGCTCGGGAGCAGCAACAAATCGACACCATTTCGGACCTGAAATTGCCCGGGCACAAATCTGGCGCTGGCCTGGGCACCTGGTAATTGGCGATATGGTCGCATTTTTGAAGAAAATCAAGCTCAGTCTCGGGTTGTCTCGGGCACATTTTTTCCGACCTCATCTTCCAAAAGTGGTTCAAATGTGTGTCTTCCAACATTTTTTGCGCAACTGAGCTCTCGCTTCAGTCTCTTGCACATTTTATCGACGGCTTTTTCAGATCGAGGCCTGCACCCGCGGAAACCCAGACCCTCCCACTCGGGACCCCTGGGGCCACCATACAAGAAAAAACACAATGATTCGTGCGCCATTGTGCGCCTACACTGTGTCAAACGCAAGCGCACGCGCTCCTGGATTGTTACTGCGATTTAATCTACTGTTTCCACTTGCCAACTGCTGTTGCCTCCTCTATGATTAACATTCTGACGTGAAGACTCACCATGGACATTCATCCGTATCTCGGAAGCTTGCGAACGAAACTGTCTTTGATTTTAATTAGATATATTTTCAAATATGTCTCCTGATGATTTGTCCTTTGTCCCTCATCTCCTGGTCGCGCAGTCGCTGACGTTGGCTCATCTCCTCGTTTCGCAACAAATCAAGCTGGCGACCTCAACCGTGCCCGCAGCACCGAAGCGGCAGGCCGGCAAGCACTGCCACAATTTCGCGACAACCGCTCATTCATAGCAACCCCCAAACAGATACTAGTAGGAAGGTATTTCCAGAATGCTATATATATATAATATCTATACATATATATATAATGTTTTGCCCAAAACTTCCAGATTTCCAACTTTTCTATCTGGGGGTGCTATAAGTTCTCACTCGGATTTACCAGGTTCCGGACTCATGTTCTTCTCATCAAAATCGAGCTGCCCCTGAGTCATTTCCCATTGGTACTCTTCGGATTCGTGCCAATGCCGCATTTCCTGCGTCTTCGCACGAGGATTAAAATAGGTTGAGCCATATGGAGACACGGAAAAAAGAACCGCTCAAGCCAACGCATGTTGCAGCTCTCCCCCGCTACCTCTTGCTAGAGTGCCTGCACCACTGCACAATTCCTTTAGTTTGAACGGGTCGGACCCAATCTGTTCTAAAGTCACTGGGGCCAAGATGGGCCAACATCTGCACATTCACATCCACTACACATGGGTTCTCCTGTGACATTTGCTGCTGACCTTGCTGCCGTTCCAGCACCTGCGCCTTCAACCAGGCAGCTTGCCCTTCTTCCTCACAAATTTCAAATGCTTAGCTGGCAAAGAGAAGTGTCATGAAGTCATGAAGCTGTCTACCGTCCTCTTTCTTATTTAAGATCTTCTTAATCTCTCTCTGCTCAAAGTCCGCCGGCAGGCTATTCCAAGTCCTCATCGATCTCAGCCATAGCCTTTGAGGACTTCAGTTTAAAGACGCGCAGCTGTTCCTGTCATGGCAAGTTTGATGTGGTCAGAGTTCCACCTGAGCTGCTACCCTTAGCAGTTCGGTGAGCTCCTGCAGCTTGGAATTCTCTTGGCCCAAGGCAGCAGCTGACCTTTCCTCTGCTTTCAAGTTGGCCTCCAGAACCTGCTCTAAAGGGCCCAAACATTTTGCCACACTCCAGCTTGCGAGGCTTATTTTGTGAAAATGTGGGATGCCAAACGTGAAATCATATGAAATCTCTTGAAATCTATTGAGTTGTAGATTCAGGCAGGTTCTTTTGAGGTGCAAGTTTTATCGGTTGTTGCGGTTCGGGAGGGCCTGCTCTTCACGACGGGCCTGTGCTGCCTCATCCTCCACATCCTTCCAAGGCTCGGATCCCACAGCTTGGTGCACTTGGTGGCTTGGCAAGTTCCAAACAAGCGACTGCTTGTACTGCTGCAAATGAGATCAACTGTCTGCAAATGAGATCAAAGCCATAACATCAGTAACTCAACTAGTTGATACTACTTGGTGGCTGACGGTGGTTGCATGTGGTTGGTGTCAGTTCCAGAGTCACACCATTTTCCGCTGTTGTATTTGCAACTCGGGCTGCCAAAGTGTTGCCGGTGCCTCCAAGCGCATCTCTGCAGATCTGCAACGTTGCCGCATGGTGTCAACAACCTGCAACGGCGTTCAAGGGAAATAAAACTCTGCAATAGTGTGCAATTTGCAACACCACTTCCCATCAAATTCCTCAAGGTTCGTACTCACTCATCTGACTTGGATATGCATAGTTTCGGTTGCTATATGGTGTCGAATGTTGCCAGTGCTGGTCTCTAAGTCACTGGTCTGATCTTGCAAGTCGAATTGCTCAGATTCTCAGCGCCTCCGCAGTTTTTGCAACTCTTGACTTTGTGGAGTCCAGGGCTTGGCGTTGAGCATCCACTTTTGCCTATCAAATATGAATCAAGCAGGGGCAAACGAATGGAGTGAGGTTCGGTCAAACGAACGCAGTCCAAAGTCCCGTTGTGAATTTGTCCTGCATCAAAGTGGAAATACCTCCTGACATGCTTGAGGCTTGAGGGCCTGTTGCTCGAGAACTTGCGGATATAAATATGTGTGTGTGTACACTGCTAGTCACATGCAGTTCATTAATTGTCTAGATGCAGGGGAGTGCGGCATGATTGTGGGACCGCACTCAACGAAGCTACCACAATCATGGGATACTGGGTCTGATCAAACCAGCGTACCTGCAAGTTTCGATGTATTTCTTTTCACTCGATATGGCAAGAGGCTAAGCCGAGGACCCCAACTCTACGTAACACATTTCCTTTGACACCTTTCCTGACAGGTTGCCTTACCTAGGAATTCCAGGCGATGACTACCTCAACGTTCTCATGATTTTCTTATTTAAACATGCAGTGTGTTTTGGGTACTTAACCTCACTTGGTTGTACCGTCTCTACGTTTCGGCGTAGATGAAAGTGATGGCCGGGCATTTTCCCGTGACTAGAGAGGGATATCGCCAATATCCCGAAGCCGTTTGCACTACGAGTGCCAGGAAGTATTGACGCGCAGTGTTTAGGTCGACACTACCAGTACTTCATGACAATTTGGCAGCCATATGGCGAAGTAGCCCAATGGGCGAAGTATCCACAAGGGAGAAGCAGCCGAAGTCCTTAGAATGTTTTACTCATTGACTACAACTGTCGCAGCCTCAGTATTTATATATCTTAATTTCCAATTGGTCATGTTGAATTGTAGACTTATCTCATAGTTCGCGTAGCCAAGATTTGATGTTGCGCCAATTGATTGATGTGCAGTCACAGCTGATTCAGAAACAACAAATTCAAAATTTCCAGATGATGATGATGCAACAGACTATTTTCCCCTTCATTATTCAGAACAATCAGATGGTGTCTCAATTGCTGACCTCTTCTATGCCATCCCTTACCGCTCTTGAACAACCTTCGGAAGTTTTGTCTGGCACTCGGGTTCTTCCAGATCACCAACCAGAGGATGTGCGGGACTCCCAGCATTGGTCTGAACCTTTGGGTGATACTTCACTTCTTCGAGCTCGTAAACGTCCTCGTGTGGAACCTTTGGCCGGAAAGTCAACTTCGGCTGCACCACCAGTTTTGACCTCAATAACTTCTCAGATTCCAACAACTGGCCTTTTTCTACATCATAATACCTCAGGTGACAATTGCTGGTCTGACATTTCATCACGTTTGATTGACCCTGACCGTAGTCATTACGCTGTGATTTGCTTTGGCAGGCAAGCCAGTGTTCATCAAATTTCAACTATGGTGGAAGTATCGGAAATGCTTCATCCTCACTTACTTCGACATGGGTTCATTTGTGGGTTTCCAGACCAGTGGCACATTTTTCTTCTGATTTGTTGGCTGACCATCTCATTGATGTGTTTCGGAAAATTGATTTGCTCTTTTTGTATCAACAGATGCTGCGTCTTCGTTCAAAGATTGCTGCAAACAAATCTCGTGTTCTCAATGCGTATGAAGAGGTTATGTTGACTGAGAACTTGGTTCAGCACTCAGCAATTTCGGCTTTGGTTGAGAATTTTGAACTCTGGTGTCCAAAATATTTCTTGATGAAGATGTATTTCTCCGCTGCTCTCAACCAGCACAACAAGTTCTGCGCAATTTAGAGCTGCAAGTGCCTCAGTGGATTCAATTGCGGATTATTCAACAGCATGGGCTAGGAAATTGGGCAGTGCGATTTCTACTCTCCTGATCGAAATTTTGCACACTGTCTTTCGGTCCATTTTGGAATTTCCGGATGTACGAGCTGTTATTGAAGGGATTCGCTGATTGTTTACTCAAACAGACATCATTGCTGGTCTTTATAATCAAGTACAACATTCCAGAATTTTGATGCCATTGAGTATGTCGTGTACACGTATGCACAGAAAACCGAACAAGGTTTAGACGCTGTCCTGCAGGCTCACATTCACAAGTTGGAACGTTATCTCAGAGTGTTTCAAGGTCGTTGGAGAGAGAAATCAAAACAATATTTTTCTGTTACATTGAGACACATTCCTGCTATTGTTCAATACTTGCTGGGTAATTCCTATTTTAGGGTCGGGAGCCAAGTTTTTCGACAATGTCGGGGAGCCAGTATGGGATCTCAGTTTGCACCTGTACTTTGTTCAGCCGTGGCTTTAAAACGTGAATGGAACTATCATCTTTCTTTTTCACCCTTCACTTGGGATCGTTCGTTGCATCATCGATATGTGGACAATCGCATTCTACTGATTTCTCAACATAGTCAATGCCAAACACATGTACGCGTTTTCTGGAATTTACAATTTTATTCTTCTCCTATTTTGTTGGAAGTGGTAGAAGGACAGGAGGCACTTGGTTTCAATGTGGATGCTTTTGCCCTGGGTGAAAACACTACGTTCGATGCGGAGTGCCAGCACGTCTCGAGCTCCTTTGAGTGGTTTATTTGCTCGATTGTGACTTATTCGTAGCCGCGTATTCCCGCGAGAATTACAGATTGCCCAAACCCAAGATTTGTTAGGCTTGATGTATTCTCGACTTCCTGATCTGTTTACAGCCAAGAATTCCCAAGATTTAAAGAGTTTTCTCCGACGGCTGTTTCAGTGTCGTTCCGTAGATCACTTGATGCAGTGGTGCCGCTAGAAAACAGTGCCTAACTTTTTCGGGTTGCTCCTCTGGTTGAGGGGCTGCATGTGTGTGCACACTGCTAGTCACATGCAGTTCATTAATTGTCTAGATGCAGGGGAGTGCGGCATGATTGTGGGACCGCACTCAACGAAGCTACCACAATCATGGGATACTGGGTCTGATCAACCCAGCGTACCTGCAAGTTTCGATGTATTTCTTTTTCACTCGATATGGCAAGGGGCTAAGCCGAGGACCCCAACTCTACGTAACACATTTCCTTTGACCTTTCCTGACAGGTTGCCTTACCATCCTTACCTAGGAATTCCAGGCGATGACTACCTCAACGTTCTCATGATTTTCTTATTTAAACATGCAGTGTGTTTTGGGTACTTAACATCACTTGGTTGTACCGTCTCTACGTTTCGGCGTAGATGAAAGTGATGGCCGGGCATTTTCCCGTGATTAGAGAGGGATATCGCCAATATCCCGAAGCCGTACGAGTGCAAGGAAGTATTGACGCGCAGCGTTTAGGTTGACACTACGAGTACTTCATGACCGTTTGGCAGCCATATGGCGAAGTAGCCCAATGGGCGAAGTACCCACAAGGAAGAAGCAGCCATAAGGCGAAGTCCTTAGAATGTTTTACTCGTTGACTACAACTGTCGCAGCCTCAGTATTTATCATATTTGTCTGGCACTCGGGTTCTTCCAGATCACCAACCAGAGGATGTGCGGGACTCCCAGCATTGGTCTCAACCTTTGGGTGATACTTCACTTCTTCGAGCTCGTAAACGTCCTCGTGTGGAACCTTTGGCCGGAAAGTCGACTTCGGCTGCACCACCAGTTTTGACCTCCAGTAACTCTTCAGATTCCAACAACTGGCCTTTTTCTACATCATAATACCTCAGGTGACAATTGCTGGTCTGACATTTCATCACGTTTGATTGACCCTGACCGTAGTCATTACGCTGTGATTTGCTTTTGCAGACATGCCAGTGTTCATCAAATTTCAACTATGGTGGAGGTATCGGAAATGCTTCATCCTCAGTTACTTCGACATGGGCTTCATTTGTGGGTTTCCAGACCAGTGGCACATTTTTCTTCTGATTTGTTGGCTGGCCATCTTGATGTGTTTCGGAAAATTGATTTGCTCTTTTTGTATCAACAGATGCTGCGTCTTCGTTCACAGATTGCTGCAAACAAATCTCGTGTTCTCAATGCGTATGAAGAGGGTATCTCAACCAGCACAACAAGTTCTGCGCAATTTAGAGCTGCAAGTGCCTCAGTGGATTCAACAAACTTACTCCTGGGGATTAGATTTTCGCAAGTCGACATTGAGCAAAGGGTATATTTTGCCTAAACCTACCCGTGAATTTGCAAAAGCTCGACCAATTGTGGATTATTCAACAGCGTGGGCTAGGAAACTGGGCAGTGCGATTTCTACTCGTCTGATCGAAATTTTGAACACTGTCTTTAGGTCCATTTTGGAATTTCCGGATGTACGAGCTGTTATTGAAGGGATTCGTCGACTGTTTACTGTGGAGTCCTTCGCGGAGTCTGCGTATTGCTTGCATCAAACAGACATTGCTGGTTTTTATAATCAAGTACTGTACAACATTCCAGAATTTTTGATGCCATTGAGTATGTCGTGTACACGTATGCACAGAAAACCGAACAAGGTTTAGACACTGTCCTGCAAGCTCACATTCACAAGTTGGAACGTTATCTCAGAGTGTTTCAAGGTCGTTGGAGAGACAAATCAAAACAATATTTTTCTGTTACATTGAGACACATTCCTGCTATTGTTCAATACTTGCTGGGTAATTCCTATTTTACGGTCGGGAGCCAAGTTTTTCGACAATGTCGGGGAACCAGTATGGGATCTCAGTTTGCACCTGTACTTTGTTCAGCCGTGGCTTTAAAACGTGAACGGAACTATCATCTCTCTTTTTCACCCTTCACTTGGGACTTGGGATCGTTCGTTGCATTATCGACATGTGGACAATCGCATTCTACTGATTTCTCAACATAGTCAATGCCAAACACATGTACGCGTTTTCTGGAAATTATTCTTCTCCGTTTTTGTTTGAAGTGGTAGAAGGACAGGAGGCACTTGGTTTCAATGTGGATGCTTTTGCCCTGGGTGAAACCACTACGTTCGGTGCGGAGTGCCAGCACGTCTCGAGCTCGATTGCGACTTATTCGTAGTTGCGTATTCCCGCAAGAATTACAGATTGCCCAAACCCAAGATTTGTTAGGCTTGATGTATTCTCGACTTCCTGATCTGTTTGCAGCCAAGAATTCCCAAGATTTAAAGAGTTTTCTCCGACAGCTGTTTCAGTGTCGTTCCGTAGATCACTTGATGCAGTGGTGCCGCTAGAAAACAGTGCCTAACTTTTTCGGGTTGCCCCTCTGGTTGAGGAGGGGCTGTGTGTGTGTGTACACTGCTAGTCACATGCAGTTCATTAATTGTCTAGATGCAGGGGAGTGCGGCATGATTGTGGGACCGCACTCAACGAAGCAACCACAATCATGGGATACTGGGTCTGATCAACCCAGCGTACCTGCAAGTTTCGATGTATTTCTTTTTCACTCGATATGGCAAGGGGCTAAGCCGAGGACCCCAACTCTACGTAACACATTTCCTTTGACCTTTCCTGACAGGTTGCCTTACCATCCTTACCTAGGAATTCCAGGCGATGACTACCTCAACGTTCTCATGATTTTCTTATTTAAACATGCAGTGTGTGTGTGTGTGGGGGGGCAAACTGGCAAACCAAATTAATTCCCGCATATTCAAAGTGTTGCAACTTGTCAAGAAGCAGACTTTGCCTCCAGCGAGTGCTTTGTGCTTAGAAGCTGACGCTCCTGGTGAATGCTAGCGAGATTACACAGTATTGCACAATCTGGTGTGGTAAATACCAAAAGTGGAATCAGTGGAATCCAGATAGTTCTTGAAGATAAGGTCAATGAATGCCAGAACCACAGAACAAGCTCAAGAGGCACCTGCTCTTCCATGGCCTCCAATTCCTTCGCCGTTTTGGCCAAGAAGTCCTGCACTGGGTAGATAGATTTGACCACAGCAGACTGGGGAATGCGTATCTGGATGTAGCATGATCTAGCTAGAATTATCTAGATGTGAATTACTGAATTGTGAATTATTGTGAAAAACATGGTTAATAAAAAGGCGTACAATCGGAGGTCTAGTCCAGCACGAGCAGGATATTTTCGCCACATCTCTCTGGCTGCTTCATGCCCCCTGGTGGATCCCGGGCCTGGAGACCGGAATCTTGTTTGCGCTTCCACGTGTGCGCTTCAGCCTTCATTTCTGCCAAATGAATTTCATTTTCATGGGCCAGCTTCTCCAAAGCAGTCTCCTCACTACTCCAAGCCATCTTTTCCACCAGGGCTTCTATACGGTCCTCTTTTTCCTCTCGAAGATTCTTGGCTGCGTAGAGCTCTGCCTCTGCTTTCACATATTCACGCTCGCTTTCTTGAGAAAGTGCCAGTCTCGCAGCTAGTTCTTGTGCAAGCAGGGTCTGTTGCTCCATCACACGCCGCCTTTCTTCTTCTGCCCGCAAGTCTTCCGCTAATCGCTGCAGTGAGCTTAGCACCTTTGGCTCTGCGTGCTCCCATGGGCCCGCAACCGGACCTTCCCTTATCCAGCGAAGATGGTTCAAAGGTGAACGCTTGAAAACCAGTTGTCTTAATCCTTTTGCTGACCGGTTGGCAAACAAGAACTTCTCTAACACTGCACCATCCAAATTAGCCACATCCCTTCCATCCAATGAAGTCAATAGATCACCTCGGCGAATACCTTTGTGATGGTCCCAAAACTGAATGGCTTGAGGCAGGACACTTTCTACTTCGACCTTCCATCCTTTGGAACCCATTTCAGGATGAAGGAGCAAGCGCAGCCCCAGGAACTCAATTTATTGCTTTCCGGTACCATCATCGGTTCTGCTTCGGGAATAATCTTTCAGCTCCTCCTCAGCTTTGGCAGGAATGGTGCAAATGGCATCTCGCGCCGGCTGTTGAGCAGGTACCACAAAGCTTGGCTCATCTTCTGGAGGGGAAAGCGGTGCAGAGGTGCCCAGTGGCCTTGCAAAGTTCCCATGCGTGCCCACCCATGCTTCCCAACTGTTCAGCCATGATTTGGACAACCGTTCCACTTGCAAGCGTCCGATTGCAAAACATCTTTTAAGTTCCAAAACCAGCGCGCCCAGCCCGCTCTTCAACCGCGAGCACTTGATGGGGGCTTAGATACTGGCTATATATTCAAGCTTCATGCGGGTTTTGATCACTGAACTGGTTTTCCAACACCGCGCTTAATCTCTCTACGCCCTACGCCTTCAATTCTTGCCTGCTAGTACCTCTTTTTTTCAGGCAGCCCCACCTCCTGTGGACCTTAGCATCTGGTGTTATGGTGTGGTGCCGTAATATTTATTTGTCTACTTATCTACTTAGTTACATTTAGCTAGTTATTTAATCGTATAATAAATAAAATTAAATAAATAAAAAATAATAAATATATATATGTGTGTGTGTGTGCTTCAATCATGTTTTCAATCGAAGACAACATCCATGCGGTCAAATAAAATCGATTGCTCATGTGGAGACAATGCCGCATTGGTTCAGTATTTGCAGCACATCTGCTTTTGAATTCGGCGGAGCGCCCTTCAACCATGTGGAACGAAAGCTAGCCTTGTGCAGCCCGGACTTAGTTTCACGAAGTGGCCAACCCCAAAAAAAGTCCCAACACCTTGAAACAAGATGAAACAAGCAAAAACTACACTAAACACTGACCATGGCACCCGGAGGCAGAGTGCCATGAGTGCCCTGACCTTGCTGATCTGGGTGAAGGTCCCTGAGAATGCAGATCTCGGTCCCTCGCCTCACTCTCTGCAGTTCTGTCCGGTGCTTCCCAGGGATAGACATAGGATGGGGGAGAAACTTGCAGTCGAGATTGGCCGCTGAAGGCTGGATGAAGGGACTGTAGCCCTGAGGCTGGTATAGCTTTCGGCAGAGCTTTTGGTAGAGCTTTCGGTAGAGCTTGGTTGGCTCCCAGCTGCTTTTCAAATTGCGGCTTTCGGAGAAGCCCCTTCACACTCAATGGTGGTGGGTCATGTTGTCGTTCTCCTTCACTGGTCCGCTGCGCCCTTGGAGAGCAGGAAAGCAATTCCAATTTAGGCTGGCTGCAACATGAAACATGCTGCAACAAGAAAAATGAGCCGCATACAAGACATACAACTGATCTTTCTGTCTTTCAGACAGGGAGCGTTTTCGGAAAATTTCTGTCAGGCCAGCTACCGCTGAATTTGCCTGCTTCAACCCATGGCGATTCAGCTTCAGTGACTCGGTAAAGAATGAGCCAATAAGTATAGTCAAACTTCTCTGCAAGCATTGTGGGAATGGCCTCAATCAGAGGCAAAGGAAAATAAGATGCAGTTGTGTCAGTTTGTGTCAGTTTGTCCTGATGACTCTTCAGGTTTCCTGGCTAGGTGCTGAGATTGCCAGATCGTATTTGGTAAGCGCAAGCTTATCTTGGGCACAAAGTCAGCCGATTATACAATCATCCACTCATCATCCTTATTTTCCACATGCATCACATGCAACATGACCAACTTGTCAACAGCAAGCAGAAAAATAGTAGACCAGTGTGTCCGCACTTGTTTTGACGCGCGGATACAAAAGCGTCTCACAACAAGCACGCGGCTCAGCATGCTTGTGGGAAGGAAGCTCCTAGATCCAATGTCAACATAAGTCAAGACTGCACCGCCCAAATTAGGCATACAGTCATGGTGTCTCTTGGTTTGCCGTATGCGATTGAGATCGATTGAGACTCCACCTTCATTCTCAAACTTGCTAGGCAAGGTGAGACATGCTCCTGCTCCGGGACTTTGGCAGGGTCTTATTGAAGCTTTGCCCACTAAGCCCCTAGAATCAAAGGAAAATATAGAATACATATCTAGAAAGAAGCATCGATTTACCTTTCAGCATTTCAGACGTGACAGCCATACCTGCGTTCGAGAGCTGTTGGATGCTGGAACATTTGAGCCGATTCTGTCAGATCTCGATCAGTCTGAGGGTCACTGGATGGAAAAGAAGTGAGGGCCCGATGCTGCAATCACAGGATAAACGGGACCTGCGAGTCACAGGTGAGCCAAGTTGTGCAAGCCAAGACCATGACTGTCTGGATGCATGCTTCAGGCTCGATGTTCATTTACAATGACATTTTGTCTCAAATTTGCTACATGGACCAGTCCATCCAAATGCATGTAAGCGCACCGTCGTGAGTTAGAGCTGCTGACCAACAACGCTCACCACGATCTGCAATATACCTTGCTGATTATTTCTGGATCCACCTGCATAGGTGCCCACACAACATCCACATCGCTTTTGCTCCTTGACCCCGTGACAAGAAAATCTCACGGAGCACGTGATCGTCCGGGAGGGGAAGTCTAAGACGATTGAGAACCTGGCCAAATGCAAGGAACTTGTTTCGAGGTGTTAGTTGAAAGTATCAAGTGCTTCCTCACGTGCCTGATTACATCAGTGGAAGAAAGGTCCTCTTCCCATGCCACCTCACAGGAAATCATGTCGAACACACTTGGTGGACGGGCATCTCTTTTCTGACGCTCTAAGCAAACCTTGTTCCATCAGGCAAGCTGAGTGGCACACGTATCTGCCCTCTGTGACCACATCCCTTTTGACGCCGAACACGATGCACGACCTGAGGGCCGAGTGCCGAGCGGCCCGTGCCACTTGCATTTACTTGCAGGGTTGAAAATGAGGGTCTTACGGCCAATCCAAAAATCTCGCAGAAGGTTCCTGCCAAACAGCGTTCCATGCCAATCAAGAAATACGTCGAGCATGCCAGTTTGAACATGTTTTAAAGATCTTTAAGCCATACAAGTATAAAGCCATGCTGCACTGTCGGCCTCTGTGCCACTGGCAGGGCCTTGATGGAAGTAGAGCCACAGTCACAACTGAAATCATGGCAGGTCCTGACATTCCAACTCGAGCCTGGGGAACTAAGGCATCAACTGGCACCAGCAGCCATTGATGCTGGGAGGGGCACTGAGCCTTGCCAAGCACAGCTCCTGGAGACCTCTGCCTGGGGGAATGTTAGACTTCAAACCTCAAAAAACAATGCCTGCTTTCATGTCAACTGGGATACCTGCATACATGCATGCATACATACATACCATACAATGCGATACGATAAGATACAATACCATACCATACTGTATCATACCATACCATACCATACCATACTATACCATACCATACATACATACATACATACATTACATTTATATACATATTTACATAGATACATACATATATAGATACGTACATACATTACATTACATAGCATTGCACTGCATTGCGTTGCATTACATTACATTACAATACAGTGTTACAATGCAATGCAATGCAATACAATATATATATATACATATATACATACATACATACATACATACATACAAACATTTTTTTCTAACTATATACCAGCATAGATAGATAGATAGATAGATAGATAGATAAGATTAGATAGATAGATAGATAGATAGATAGATAGATTAGATTAGATTAGATTAGATTAGATTAGATTAGATTAGATTAGATTAGATAGATAGATAGATAATAGATGCATACATACATTGCATTGCACTGCATAGCATTGCATTACATCACATTACATTCATACATACATATATTGATAATCATTGATACGTATACCGTATTATCAAGTATATATATACATTATATATATATATTATACTTGGATGGAAAGCTTGGGTGACTTTGGGGCAGCTTTGTATCGTCCTTTGGGAATAAGGAAATGCTCCAGTGGCCTCTGCTGAGCGGCACCTTGGGGGTGCCAATTTCAGATCTGGCAGATTGCCATGGCAATTTGCATCAATGGCTCAACCAATGGCCCAAGGCAACAGGATTGGAATCATTGGAATATATTGGAATCCCAAGGCAATCAAATCCTTTAGGATGCTTTGGGATGTTTTAGGAATCCTAGAGATTTCTAGACCTATGGCAGACTATGGCATCGCCTGAAAGGTCTCACTCCTTCACAACATTTCACAACATTTCACAACTAGAAATGCTCATTTCTTCACAACAGTCTGCATATTCTGCTCATCTCTCCTGGGACCCAAGCGGTGACAGCTGCAGCTTTTGTAGCCTGCCCAGTGCCTGCAACCGTTCAGCGAATCTCTCCATATTTCACAACACTTCGTTGGCTGAAACCTGGCTATGCGCACATGTGGGTACATACTGGCTGATGGCCACAAATTCCTGTTGGTTAACCCACTTCGCCACTTACTATATAGACAACAATCATTCGGCGCTCTCCATCGCACAATCGTGCGCTTCAAAACAACATCAACAAATCTATTGTCTACTGAGTTACTGTGTGAGCTCATTCTGCTGCGCAACACCCGGAGCTTTGTTTCTCAAGTGCGTTCGGATGTTGTCTTCAATAAAGCAACCCAAGCCGCCTGGCCTAGCATAATCAATTTTGAGAAAAACCCTGACAATATTTGTCAGGCATGACTGGCGGCATTCTCCTATCTGCATCTAGGAAGAGAAGAAGCTTCTAAGATTCTTTCCAAGCGTGGAATGCATCCTCAGCCGTCAGCTACACGCACCTAGACTGCTGTATACTTGCTGCTGGGCTCGCAAGCAAGGTTGCGCATTTCATGCAATGAAGTCAGAAAGTCATGCATGATCATGCATGCCAGTGATTTCGGGATCTACTTGACCTGTGCCCTTGGATTTGACAAATTCACCGCTACTCGTCCGTACAATTCCATAGACCCAAAAAACGCGAAAAGTGAAAAAAAACACACCAGTCCTGTGTTGGTTGCAGCTGTAGATCCATTTGATGCAGAGGCAGCCTTGCATCAGCTCTTTCCACAACAAAACACCGAATGACATTCTGAGATATTCTGAGCAGTTCAAACTTTTGGCAGAATATTTTGGAAAGGCATGGATTGGGAGGTGTATGGAATGAGCCTTTTCATCTTTTTGCTGCTGCCAATCTTACTGTCACAATGTCATGCCAGTTCGGAACTTAGGTGCGGACAGAAGCTGAAGTTGTTCTTTCCACCACAGGCCTTTGGGAAATTGCAGAGACAGCTTCAGATACTTGACTCCACGGTAAAAGGCTGGCAGAAAGTACGACGTGTTCTTAGATAAAAGGCAATCATTGCCATTTCATGCCGTTTTCGAATGGGCAAGGTGCCTCAAATTATCTCGACTTGCCATTTTTGTCCTGCATTTCTACTTGCTGTCGGCGACTGTCCTCTCCAAAAGGCTCTGTAAAGCCGAAAAATTGCAGCTCGGCTGCAGGAAGATTTTACACTTGAAACGGTTTAGCGGTTTAGCATGGTTTAGCGGAACGGATTCCACAACCCAGGGTTTTTCTTCAGCTTCTCCTCTTCCTCGTCGAACATTGCCTCTAGGTCTGCCTGTTTCTTCTCGTCCATCTCAGGAACTGGAGCGCTAGGGGCAAAGGCATCCATGAAGGCCGACAGCACACTCTGATCTTCTTTCTCAAGCGCGAGTTTCATGGTGGAGCCAAAGCGAGAGTTGAGGACTGTGAAGAATTGTGTGAGCCCCACATTGCGGGTGTTCCACATTTCATCTCCGAAGGTTGCGCTGATCATGACCAATTGAGCTCCAGGCCGGACCCCTTGTGCGTATGCATCACTTGACTTGTCTACTGACTTGATGTAGATGTCACCTCCATCACGTTCCTCGAAGTCGATGCCCAAAGGCATGGTCAACTCCACAACGCGGCTAGAATCTTCTGCGTCCCGGGAAGCTTTGGTGCCGGCTTCCTCTGGGTCTGGGTCCTGCGTTACGAGCACTTGGGCATGAGCATGACGGGAAGCTGGAAAAACATGGGAAAACATGGATAAACCATGAAAAACCATGAAAGACATGCAGAGTTCGTCGCTCAAAAAACTCAAGAATACTCATGCTCACTATTGACTTGCTCACTCATGTTCACTGGGACTTTGAGAAAAAACAGGCGTGAGCCAAGCAGCTCGGACATAGTGACATAAGGATACATAAGGGGTGAACAATTCCGAAAACTAAAGCAGCTTAAGTTTGCCATGACAAAGGTGCCGTTCATCATTCGCTCTGAGACGAAAACTCAAATACCTACAATGGTTCAATTGCATGCTCTGGCAACTGTCAAATGGCGCATGGTGGTAAAGCATGTTGATGTTACACCTCGTTGTGCATTCATCCATCAATCTCAATCTCAACCTTATCCCTTCACTGCCGCTGCCCAGGATGCCTGATTGTTGTTCAGGAAAGGAAAGTCGAAGACCTTGACTCTCATTGCTGTCTTGGGTGCTGTCTTTGGTGCCTGCGGCTGGACGAAAGCCTCAAAGCCAAAGAACACCACTGCACACAGGATCACTCTACTCATTCGTCGATCGAACTTCTCCATGGCTCGTTTTGCTCGTTCAAGGTTCGAACTGGACCCGCGCTACTTCTCTCACGGCACGCGCGGTCTTTCTCCACACGTGATCGCCCCTGTCTTGAGCGAAAATGTCTGCCGATGCGCTGTTAAAGAAGTGTGTTTTTTTCCCTGCCTATGCTGAGATGTGTTCAGAGCCTCTATTTTTTTTATTTATTTTTTACGTGAGAATGTAGTGACATTGCAAACTCAACCCTGGAAACCAAACTCTTATATCTGAATTATATCTGTTCATCACATCGCAAAAGAAAATTGGCGCGCCATGTCCAGCTCTGCTGAGAAACCGCTAATTAAGATCACCTGATAGGACCCGCGGCCTAGGAGCATCGCTGAGTCCATCAATGTCGCGGGCGATGCCAGCAGCACCTTAAAATGCCAAATACATCAAATGCATATGATCATATGACAAATAAACGAAATAATTACATCATAATTATAATACATCCAAATACACGTGCGCACACCGAATACATTTGAATTGTCCGATGATGTCCGATGTCTTGAGTGACGTCTGAAAGCATCACACAGCTTGCCCGACAACAAACCCATGGAATCTAAGAGCGCAGCCACCGCGAGAGCACCTACTTCGACCTCAAGTAGCTAGAAAAAGAGCCAGGAATCTATAGAATCTGCTGGATTTGCAGATGCCTCAATCAGCTTGTTGGTATCCATGAACCCCCACCCCATTTGCCCGTTGCTCATGCAAACCTTAACCCAAGAGAATAACACCGACTATATACTTGAAACACAAAAACTCTGGCCTCACACGACTGATTGCAATCTAGCAAAATGGAGGAAAAGCAAAAATACAAATCCAGAAGTGGGGGTGTCTAAATCCCCGAGCCCTTTGAAATGGTGTTTCCACACGTTACAGTATCCGTTTTTCCTTTTATCGTTTTCCCAAGCGCTGGCTTCACACCTTGATCAAAGAATTCATATTGTGTTTTCTTTGTGGAATGTCAGCTTGCAACCACCAGATTTACATGACTTTTACATGTGGTTTTTCGAGGAACTATCGTATCTGCAAAGTTGGAATGATGCCATGGCATGTGCAAGGCATACAGTGTCTTTGCAGGGACTGACATGGAATCTAATCATGGCATTAACTCTATATACAGAGAAATTGCTCAAGAGCAATGGCTCATGATAGGAATACCCAAAACAAATCCGTGTTGAAATATCCGGGGAGCCCTTGTGACCGCTCATTTTATTAGTACAAACCTCGGGCCTTACCCTGGTTTGCTACAAAATGAACAACCACCATCAAAAACACCCAACTACAAAATGAAAAACCAGGGTCCAGGGGCATCAACATAGGTTTGCTACAAAATGACATGCCCAAGGGCTTTATTTCTAACTTCAACATCCAACATGTTACCTCTTGCTTTGTTGCAGGTCATTTTGTAGCTATTACATCCTTCTACAGATCCAGTGGAGGGATTGCCAACAAAAAAACTACAACATGTTTTACGGGTCAAACAGTAAGTTGCTACAAAATGATTTGTTTTTATTTTTTTTTATTTTTATGTTATCATGTGTTATCCAAACAAGAGCAGCTACAAAATGGTTTCACGGCCTCACCATATAAACCCACACACAGCATTAAAAAAACTACTTTGCTACAAAATGGTGGCCCTGGGTGCATTTTTAAAACCATGTTTTACTTATAAAATGCATTAGATTGTTAGGCCAGGGCCCTTCAATCTGTAGCTGAAATTTTAACGCGGATCAAAACAAAACATAAATCAGCAAAAGTGGGCAGTGTGTTCGTGAATCCTGTTCTTCAGGAAGGTTCGCGAACCGAACCGCGAACCGGGAACCGAACCGCGCGAACCGGAAACCGCCCAGAAACCGGCAGTTGGGAAACCGAACCGAACCGAACCGCTAATGTATAAAATAAGCTCCCGAACCGGACGAACCGGAGGGAGGAACCGGATGCGAACCGCCGGCATGTGCTCTGTTTGTTTCTCTCAAGCAAACGTTCCCTTCAATCTCTGCCCTCGTATTGGATTTGTTTTTTTTTGGAAGCCCCACAAAAACCAAAAATACAACCCTTGTGCCCTCCTATTGGATTTGTTTTTTCTGACAGCACCAAAAAAGCAAAAACGCAACCCTTGTGCCCTTCTAATTGTTTTTTTTGAAAGCACCACAAAAACAAAAAACACAACCCTTGTGCCCTCCTATTGGCTTTGTTTTTTTGGAAGCCCCAAAAAAAAGCAAAAACACAACCCTTGTGCCCTCCTATTGGGTTTGTTTTTTTGCAGCCCCAAAAAAAGCAAAACCATAACCCTTGTGCCCTCCTATTGGACTTTTTTTTTGTGTGGAAGCACCACAAAAGCAAAAAGCACAACCCTTGTGCCCTCCTATTGGGTTTGTTTTTTTTGGAAGCCCACCCCAAAAAAAAACAAAAACACGACCCTTGTGCCCTCCTATTGGACTTGTTTTTTTGAAGCATCAAAAAAGGAAAAACACAACCCCTGTGCCCTCCTATAGTTTTTTCTGGAAGCACCAAAAACGAAAAAACACAACCCTTGTGCCCTCCTAGTGCATTTGTTTTTTTTGGGAGCCCCCCAAAAAACAAAAACACAACCCTTGTGCCCTTCTATTGTTTTTTTTGGATGCACCACAAAAACAAAAAACACAACCCTTGTGCCATCCTATTGGATTTGTTTTTTTTAGAAGCCCAAGAAAGAAGAAAACAAAAACAACACCCTTCTGCCCTCCTATTGGGATTGCTTTTTTTGCAGCCACAAAAAGGCAAAAACTCAACCCTTGTGCCCTCCTATTGGGTTTGTTTTTTTTAGAAGCACCAAAAAAGCAAAAACACAACCCTTGTTCCCTCCTATTGGATTTGCTTCTTTGGAAGCCCCAAAAAAGCAAAAACACAACCCTTGTGCCCTCCTATTGGATTTGTTTTTTCTGAAAGCACCAAAAAAGCAAAAACACAACCCTTGTGCCCTCCTATTGGATTTGTTTTTTCTGAAAGCACCAAAAAAGCAAAAACACAACCCTTGTGTCCTCCTATTGGATTTGCTTTTTGGGCTCTCCTATTGGATTTGCTTTTTTGGAAGCCCTAAAAAAGCAAAAACACAACCCTTGTGCCCTCCTATTGGATTTGTTTTTTCTGAAAGCACCAAAAAAGCAAAAACACAACCCTTGTGCCCTTCTATTGGATTTTGCTTTTTTGGCAGCCCCCAAAAAGCAAAAACACAACCCTTATGCCCTCCTATTGGATTTGCTTTTTTGGCAGCCCCAAAAAAGCAAAAACAAAACCCTTGTGCCCTCTTATTGCATTTGCTTTTTTTGGAAGCCCCAAAAAAGCAAAAAAAACTGGTGCCCTCGTATTGGATGTGCTTTTTCGAAAGCCACAAAAAAGAAAAAGCACAACCCCTATGCAAAGCACAAGCACAACCCTTGTGCTCTCGTGTTGGATTTGCTTTTTTGGCAGCCTAGAAAAACGAAAACAGCCTCCACGACCAGGTCCACCTGACGCAACGTGTCCTTGACATGAATCATAACAACCAACTAACTGGGAACATGTTTTGCTTTTTTGAATGGCCGTAAAAAGCAAATACCAAGACCATGACTTACTCCGAACCGGTTAGGAACCAGAAACCAAACCGGTTAGGAACCGGAAACCGAACCGAACCGAACCGTTTTTTAAATTATATCCCGAGGAACCGAAACCGAACCGAACCGAACCGATCCCACCCTGGTTCTTGGGACATAAAGCAGCTGCAAGTGTCACCCCCCATACTTAAAGATCTTGCCGTGTTCAAGCTCAGAACGGATGTTCCAAGCACGCATCACACCAGGCACAGCTTTGAACACCTCTTGAACATTGGATTTGAAAAGTCTGGACACAGATCATTAACATAACCAACGTTATCGTTTGTTTCCTCTTAATTATTGTTTTTTAGAGTGAAAGTTAAAAATGGCTCGTGGGGGATCATGGAAGACTAAACGAATAGGCGCGGGCTTATTATACTCTCCCAAGTTAGTCAGATTCAGTGATCCATGAAGCAAGAGCGCGGCGCTAGCAGAAACACTTGTAAGTTAGCTGAATCAAAGCAAGTGGATAGCAAACAAGTGGACAATGATTGTAAAATAGATGACAATTTTGTCCACAAATATTGGCTTGCATTGGCTTGCTATATCTTGCTATTGTGTTAGCAATTTAAATGACGGTAATTGTTTATCTGGCAACCTGTGGCAACATGGTAACGGTTGCCAGCATGTGGATGCGTGGCAACATGGGACAACACACGACGACACACGAACCACGATGACATCGGCCAAGTCGCCCAGGGCTGGTTGTCGACAATCCATGGGTCGCCAGGAGATTGTCCAAGCATGGCGCCTCGAGAGAAAGTGTCGATCACTGGTAGTCAATGTGGGTCACAATGCAGGACTCTGTCACCAGATATGGGCACATTTCAATATGTCCAGATTGTCCAGTGCTCATCTTCAGACCTAAACACAGGAGCACAAAGGACAAACTTCTAAGAAGAGCGGCCCTGAATTGAAACCACGAGTTCCAAATGCAAGATGAAAACCAGTGCCAGGTCCTGCCAGCGCTGCGAATTGGCGAGAGTTCTTTTAACAATGTTTAACAAATAAAAAAAACAACATCAACGCAGCTTCTTGCAAACTGTCCGGCAAGGATCACACTGGATCCCCAGGAAGAGGCCGACAAGCCCCGCCCATCCACCACAACAGACCTAAATCAGAACTCAAATGTTTGAGTACAAAACAAGGTCCCGATCAAAATCCAAAATGCGTTGTTTGTGATGGAACATTGTCAAAAGCAGACACGCGTGCAGATGCCCTTCCTGTGCCGGGGTTGCACTCTGCAAGGTTCATCGATGCCATTCTAATGCTGAGGTTTTCACGGTCCAACTGATGTCATCCTGAGCAGAAGATTCCGTGAGGCAATTTTTCTACTCAACCACATAGATGTTTTTTCAAGCGCTGACACGATGCTGAGGTGAGGTCAATTCTCTTCCCTCAGTGAGACCAAACTCCTGGCCAGGGACGCGAAACCACCATTCCCAAGCGAACCCACATGAAGGGAAAATCACCGGAAAAAATAAACGTAACCTAATTATACACAAATATCTGCAATCATATGCGTATAGGTATTGGCACATATTGTACACATGTCACATATGCATATAATGCACGTTTTTGTGTATATACCTACTAATTATCTTTGTGCCTCTCAGAGTTTCCCACAACACATGGAGAATTGCAAGGGAAACGGTTTTGAATGGTGCTAGTCCCGGCTAGCTGCACCAGAAGTCGCAGCCCTTCACAAGTATATACTGTATTTTGCATCAGGAAATAAAAAAATAGAAGCCAAAACTGGAATCAAACCGAACATCAGGCATAAGCCGGAACAGCCCTCATGATATGTGTGTATACAAAGACTTGTAGAGATATACCAGTAGTACCGCGCAAGGCGGTGGCGGGAGCTTCAAAGATAGGAAACCCATAGGAGAGGTGAGCTGCTGTGACGCATGGATGGCAAAGCAAACCCACTGATGGACCGAAAGGTGGCTGAAGCTCGAGTCTCTGTCTCTCCCTCTCTATGTTTCTCTCTGTTTCCTTTTTTTTTCTCTCTCTCTCTCTCTCTCTCTATAGCTATCTATATATCTATCTATCTTTCTATCTATCTATCTAACTAACTACCTCTGCCTATCTACCTACCTATCTATCTAGCTAGCTAGCTAGCTAGCTATCTACCTACCTACCTATCTAGCTAGCTATCTGTCTATCTGTCTATTGGACCATCTGTCTATCTGACTATCTACCTATTGTCTACCTTCCGATCTATCTACAGTATCTGTCTGTCTGTCTTTCTTCCTTCCTTCCTTTCGTTCTTTCTTTCTTTTCTTTTGTTTTTTTCTTTCTTTTCTTTCCTTCCTTCTTTCTTTGATCCACTTTTCTTTTCTGTGTTTTCTTTTTTCTTTCTTTCGTTCTTTTTTTCTTTCTTTTCTTTTCTTTTTTCTTTTTTTTCTTTCTTTCTTTCTTCCTTTCTTTCTCTCTCTATCTGAAAGGAAGCAATAATGCGATATTTCCTTCGAGCGTGGAAGTTGGCAAGTCCAAAACGAAGCAGTTTCGCGAGACGTCTTCAAAAAATGGAAGTTCTGAGCCCCAAACGAAGAAATTCTGCGAGACTTCCTCCATTCGTGAACTTGGCAACTTTAAAAACAAAGCAATTCTACGAGACTTCCTTCAAAAATGGAAAGTTGAGTGCAGAGTTGACGGCCTCGTACCAATGCGTTTTGCGATTGTTCTATCCCATCTCTCTAAAGTACTGCGCCTGCCGCAAAAAAGTGAAGCGAGGTCACACCAAGTGCCGCAGCTATCACGCAAAATCACCTTAGCCTCAGAAAACCTTAAGATCTGATGCTCCAAAATTCAACCCCTCTCAGGAAATCAGCGCCCTGGCCTCTTAACATCTCTGATGGATATGTCTCTTGTACTGCGCCTGCCCCGCAAAATGCATCTTTGCAGATCCTCCTGAAACGTTCCACGCCTGCCATCGTTATTGCAACTGGCACGAACCCCCCACGTTTTTCTCAGGACAAAGTTCCCACTTGCCTTGCGGCTCGAAAAAGCACCCACTTGCAGCTCGGAAAAGCGCTCACTTGTAGCTCAAGCCGTGGGTGGGGTGGGGAGGTGGAGTGGGTTGGGGCTGGTTGGTGGGGGGGGTGGCGCGTTAGGTATGATAATGTTGTTTGGCTCTTGCACACGGACTGTAAGCTACACTATGATATCTTCTCTTGCACTTGCACACCGACATATACCGACATGATGCTTCGCTACGGGATCTTCTCTTGAACTTGCACACCGGCATGATGCCACGCAATCAGATCTTCTCCTGGGTCTGGGTCGGGCTGGGGTCAGGTGGGGTGGGTGTGATAACGTTCTTTGGCTCTTCCACACGGACCAACGGACTGGATGCCATGCTATGAGATCTCTTGCGCTTGCACACCGGCCTAGGTCTTTTCTTGCACTTGCACACGGACTGGCTGCCGCACTATCAGATCCTTTCTTGCACCTGCACACGGACTGGACGCCACAATCTGAGATTATCCCTTGCACTTGCACACGGGCTAAATGCCACGCTATCAGATCTGGTTCAAAATTATAATTATGATAATAATGATGATGATGATGACGATGATAATGATGATGGTGATGATGATGATGATGATGATGATGATGACGGTGATGATGATGATGATGATGATGATGATGATGATGATGATGATGATGATGATGGGATGATAGTGATGATGATGAAAAATGATGAAAATGATGCTACCAATGGCCGTGATGATGTTAAAAACTGACCATGATGATGATGGTGATGATGGTGATGATGATGATGATGATGAAGCTGATGATGTTCAAAATGACGATGCTGATGACGATGATGATCATGAAACTCATGAAACTCATGAAACACATGAAGCTCATGAAGCGGATGAAGCTCATGAAACTCATGAAACTCATGAAGCTGATGAAACTGATGAAACTGCTGAAACTGACGCAACTGATGAAACTGAAGAAACCCATGATGTTCAAAATGATGATGATGATGATGATGATGATGTTGATAATGATGTTGATAATGATGATGACATGATGATAATGATGATGGTGGTGATGATGATGATGATGCTGCTGCTGCTGCTTGACATTAAGCAAAGAGGAGTTACAAGCGAGCACATTTTGGAGTCACAAGCGGGCGCTTTGAGGAGACACAATTGAGACATCGCCTTTTTGCTCACGCTTGGCAAGGTGCAGAATCCATCGCACCTGCCGCGCAAAACCACACCCTAACTTCAAAAAGCGGTCCGAGTTTTGACTTCCGAAAGTGCTTCGCGCCACAAAGGCGTGCACTTTTTCGACATCACAACTTCCAAAAGAGTGCTCCGACCCTGGTGTGCTTTGTACATTTTGACTTGGAGATGTGCTTCGCGCCACAACGGCGTACACTTTTTTGACGTCTCATCCTCCAAAGCGTTCCGAGCGTGTGGCGGCTTCAGCAGTTTGACTTCCAAACGCGCTTCGCGCCACAACCGCGGACACTTTTTCGACAGCTCCGCTTCCAAAAGTGCTCCGACAATGAGGCATTTTGTGCATTTTGTCTTCAAAATCTGCTTCGCGCTGCAGCGGCACGCAAGTTTTGATCTCTCATCTGGCCAAATGGCTCCGCACCCGCCGCTTTGACCTCCGACGCCACAAAACATTAAAAAACACTGTGTTTCATAACTAACTTTTCTACCTCGTGCACATCGATCTTCTTTCTTCTGACTCTTTCTCTTTTCTGACTTCTTCTCTTCTGACTCTTCCTCTTTCTCTGACTCTTCCCACCTCTGCTTTTCCATCTGTCCATATTGTCGGAATCGGAAGTTTGACTTCTAAACTTCCTTCGATAATGCTCGGGAACAGACTGAATTACCCAATCAGTGTCTGATAGTCAGTGTAAGTAGGAAGACCACCACTCTATTTTGAAAACTTGAAATCTTAGGCACATCTCGTCAAAAATCCATCTCGTCAAAAATCCAATCTACGCACTGTGAACAAATGAAAGCCTCTCAAAGCACAGCATCACGGTTCATGCACGTCCTCACTGAGCATGGGCTCTGATTGGCCAGGTGCCATGCACCAACCAAGCCTTGGAAAAATGCCAAGCTTGGCTCGGCTAGGGTATGCCAAGAATATGCAAAAACAATTGGCTAAAAAAATCAAAATAATGACACGTCCAAGGATGGGCTTGGCCAGCCCACCGTGGGATCCGGCTGTCGGCTCTGTAGACCCCCCCGACGCGTACCTGGAAAAGGGCGACGGCTCAGACAGCCGCAATGCTCTGAAACCACGAAATGAGGCTGACAAGAAGTAAACTTTGCCTGAATGCTCCCACTTTTGACCTCCCGACAGGCATGCAATGGCACGCGTGCAGATTTTGGGAGCACGTCATCTTCATCAGCTGAATCAGGTTCCTCAACAGTGGGAATTGAAGCTCCAAGTCAGCAACTCCTATCAACTCCATGTGTAGGCGCTCAGCATCGGCTTCTGCGTTACTATCGGGTGTATCCTTTGTCAGTTTGGACAAGGCAGAAATCGCTAAGCAAAGTTAGGTCACCAGCCAGGTTTGCCAAGCCACCCTTTTCAGCCTGCAACCGCGAAAGTTCTTTGAGAAGCAGCTCCGAACACTGCAAAGGAACTTAGCCATAGGTGGTTCTGTGATGTTATGTAAGACTTTTGCATGACATGAGCAGGCATGCATTCAATTCTGTTCACTAGGGTCTTTGAGATTCAACGGCAGTTCAAACCGAAATTCCACGCTATTCTTTTTGAGCACCTGCTTGAGTTATATACAATATACACTAAGAGAGTGGCAGGTTGTCAGAGTGCGCTTTTTCATCATTTTTATCATGACATGTACGCAGCGAGATAATGGCCTACAGGATTTACGATAAATGAATAAAGTAACATGTGTGCTCATGGGATTTTATGATCATTTGAGGCGTCTTGGCTTCTACCTAGTTCCATGCGCTTCTAGCAGAAATAGAAAAGGAAAGTTTAGCAAGATGGTAGGCAGCCTTCAATTCAATCCATGAAACAAGAAAATATGTATAAGTGTTGTCCGCAGAAATCCAACCCCCGGCCAATTAGGGGGGTGGGGTTGGAGCTACCCATTTAGTAGTGGCCCCGGTATTTTTCTCTACAAAATGCCGGACCTGAGTCTACAAAATGGGTTGCCTGGAAACTCTCTCTACTAAGTCCGGGCCTTGGATAGGCTTCTTCACTACAAAATGAGTACCGAAAAAAGTTAAAACAGGGATTTGATTCTGTTTTTCTTCATCAAGATGGTTTTCAAAAGTTGTCTTTACATGTTTTTAGCCATCATCTAGGACCCAATTTGTAGACAAACAATTGGCTCTGATGGGCTCTGTTAGAAATCTTAGATGCAGTGGTCCCACCTGATGAGGCAGTAGCTTGCACATCAGGCAACAATAAACTACCGGGACCTGAAAGCAAACTCAAAAAAAAAACGGCTGGGAAATATTCTGCCGGGGAGAATCATAATGTAATACAGAAGTTGTTGTTGTGAAATATTGTATTTGAGCCAATGAATATTAGAGATACTCAAAATTCAATGCTGACCGGTTGCGCCATACTCAGGGTGGTGTTTTGCTTCTTTGTTGCATATCTTGAAAGCAAGCGTGAACAAGAGGAAACAATAGTTTTGATTGACAGGAGATGTCATTTTTCCCCAAAGCACTGCATCGTATTGATAGAAATCCCTGCATTATAAAAAATATGGTATGTTTAGCAAGGGTAAACATCAGTACCACCTCAGTTTTTGAGGGCAACCATGTCGGCAACAGCATGTTTTTCATGCAACATATTTGTTCAGAGGGGGGACTGCATTATGTAAGACATGTTGTATCTTCGACCCAAGTGCACATTTGTAATTATATATGTGTAAAAGTCTTATACTTAATTGAAAATATTTGATGAATGAAAAAAACAACATGTATAAAGGGAATTGCATTTTTGAAGGCTGCGATGTTTTGAGGCATATTGTACATTGTAAATGCTCACCGTTTGCTGACAAGAAGGTTCCGCGTTATAAAAATAATGTACACTACCTGATAGAAAGAAACCAATAGCAATGAAAAAAATGCAACTTTCAAAAACATGTTTCTTTCAAAGAATAATGGATTCAGCAGGGCAATGTGGTTGGATGTTTTTCTTGTTCTGTGTGTTCATGTATGTTTTTCCCCACCTGCCAGGTGAGGGTTGTTAGATTTTATGTCAGTTGCTTGCTCCTCCTCCTCCTCCTTCTCCTCCTCCTCTCCTCGTCTCCTCTCCTCGTCTCCTCTCCTCGTCTCCTCTCCTCCTGCTCCCTGCCGGACCTCAACCACGACCATCCACGCCCAGTGTGCCCTGCCGGACCTCAACCACGATCATCACCGCCCAGTGTTCCCTGCCGGACCTCAACCACGGCCATCCCCGCCCAGTGTTCCCTGCCGGACCTCAACCACGACCATCCACGCCCAGTGTTCCCTGCCGGACCTCAACCGCGAGTATCCACGCCAAGTGTTCCCTGCCGGACCTCATGTAGGAAGATAAAATGTCAGATAGAGTGCCAGAAGATTTGCCAGGTAGAATGCCAGAAAATATGCCAGAAAATCCAAGTGCATTAAATACAGAAGGTTTGGCCTAGACATTTTTTTTTACATTCTGTTTAGATGTGCCTAAAAGCTTGCTGGAACAAGGAAACCAACCAAAGCCCAGAAAATACCCACCGCTTCGATTGGGCATGACATTAATAGTAAATGGCAAGTGCCACGGCTTCAGACTCAGAAAAGCCAGACTCTGAGAATTGGTTGCTTTGTTTTTTTTGTTTTCCCGGGTTTTTGAGTTTTCGACAGTTCCCCCAGTATTTGGCAGCTGCGTCTATTCAAATCCACTAGAACCATGAACATTTCAGAAGGGCAGGTCCATCAGAGCGCATTTGAATTATAACGCTATTTTTGTAGTAAAACTTGGCTCTGGTGGTCTGCCACTCTGTATATTAATGTATATGCATATGTAACTATTCTGTATAATGCTAAACATGTACATACATACATCCATCCATACATACATAACATACATAACATACATACATACATACATACATACATACATACATACATCCATCCATGCATGCATGCATGCATACATACATACATACATACATAAAAACATACATACATACATACATGCATACATACATGCATGCATGCATACATGCGTACATGCATACATGCATACATGCATACATGCATACATGCATACATGCATACGTGCATACGTGCATACATGCATACATGCATACATGCATACATGCATACATGCATACATGCATACATGCATACATGCATACATGCATGCATGCATACATGCATTACATGCATTACATGCATTACATACATGCATACATGCATACATGCATACATTCATTACATTAATAACATTACATACATACGTACATACATTTATGCATGCATACATACATACATGCGTACATGCATGCATACATTACATTAATAACAAACATACATACATTCATACATACATACATACATACATTCATACATACATACATACATACATTACATACATTACATACATTACATACATTACATACATTACATACATTACATACATTACATACATACATACATGCATACATGCATGCATGCATACATACATACATACATACATACAGACATACATACATTACATACATTAAATACATTACATACATTACACACATTACACGCATTACATACATACATACATACATACATACATACATACATACATACATACATACATACATACATACATACATACATACATACATACATACATACATTACATACATACATTACATTACACTACATTACATTACTTAGCATTGCATTGCGTTACATTACATTACATTACATGACATTACATTACTTTGCATTACATTACACTACACTACACTACATTACATTATTTACCATACCCTACCATGCCAGGCAATGCCATACCATACCATTCCATACCATACCATACCATACCATTACATACATTACATTACATTACATGACATTACATTTACATTTAATTACATTACATTACATTCATACATACATACACACACATACATACATACATACATACATACATACATACATACATACATACATACATACATACATTACATACATTACATACATACATACATGCATGCATACATACATACATACATACATTACATTACCACACATACATACATTACATACATACCTGTATATATATATGGAGCATTTGCACATGTTCGCAGCACATACACACATATGATCATGCATTTATAGATATACACACATACACACACATATACATATATATATATAAAAGGGTCCCCCAAGAAGATAGAAAAAACAAATCAGGGTGCTACGAACATGTTGACCCTAAATCCTGAAAACCGACGGGAAAAAATTGACCCAAATTTCTGGGTGAATTTTTGGGATAAAAACCATGCAAACATGGGAGATTCCAGAATGGATGCCGGATCCACATATAGCTGGTGGATACTGAAGATAGAAAAGCCCCAATGAAAAACTTGACCCCACAATCTATACATGCTAAATCTACAATAGCTTAAGGATATTGGCAAATAAGGTGAAAATAATCAGCCTCTTGCAGATTGAACAAATGCCATTTATATATATATACATATCACGGTCTGTAAAAAAATTATAACGAAAGAGAGAGAGAGAGAGGGTATGCATATACATTACATTACATTACATCACATTAAATTACATACATACACAATTTATACATACACCAAGCTGCATGAATATGCGCTTTGCTGGTCTGCTGTCAAGCCTTTTGCGCTAGAAAGCCGAAGATTTCAACCACTTCCTGGTGGGAAAGTACCTGCTGACGCCAGGCTTGTATTGGAGTCGGAGGACGAATGAAACCATTTTTAGACTCAGAAGCAAGCAGCTCGATGATTTGTTGTGTTGGTTCTGGATCTGTTGTCTGATTTTCTGGGCTTCACACCCCACTCTTGGAAATCTCTTTCGCAAAGAAAGCAGCCTCACTGCAACAAATTGTTATCACGGGTTTCAGACTATGACCGAGACCCTTCCCGGAGGTCCCCACCAAGAGGCAGATGCAAGTGCACTTTTTCACTCCAAGTTGGGCTCGGTAAATTGAGCCAGTCAGTTGATTGGCCCTTGAGCCAAGTTGCAACAGTCGGAGGACGTCTCAACGACTGTGAAAACTTTAAAAAAGACCTTAGTGGGGGTGCAGTGGTACTCTGTGCATGTTTCCCAAACCGCACTCCCCCTTCCTGCTTGCAGGAATCCAGGTTCCCCAACACCAAAAACAAAAGCTTCAGGGGTGGCCACGTTTCCTCTGGGAACTCGCCCTTCCCCCAGCCAGAAGGGCGAAGACCCTCGTGTGCCATAGTCCCAGGCTGGTGTTGGTTCCCCCTTCATCCAAGGGTCGCGTGGAGTTCCACTTCGGGTTGACTCCAAAAATTGAAAAACTACAGCCCTAACTTCGTAGGTTTTGAATTCCCTCTCTCACCAGCGCTGTCCTCGAAGAGCGCCCAACGGTGTTCTTTGGGTCCAGCAGCTGATGAGCTTTTCCCTGTATTGGTCTTTTCCGCCGGCAGCTAATGATCTTTTCCTTGGGTCTTGTTGATCTTTTTCTCCAGCCACCGATGTACTTTTCCGTGTGACCTATTTCCTTTTGGGTGAGCTTTTCGCCACATTTCTTGCGTCTTGTTTGACAAGGAAAACGGTGTATCCCACCCACTTGTCTTCGACCCACTTGGTCTCCCAGTCAAAATCCAAGATTATTTTTCGCTCGTTGCTGTTCAGGGTATTCCACAAAAATGTGACCCGGTAAGGATCCAACTGGTCGACCTTTTTCGGTAAAGTGGGGTGATCTGGATGAAATGAATTCTGTCTCCATCTGTAATGGATTCTTGTGATGATTCGTCCATAGTCCCCAGGGGCTGGAACATGCCACATGTCAATGGCCTGACCCTGTTCTTCAAAGCCTGTTACGGCCGGCGGCTTTGTCATCCATGCTGTGCCCTCTCCAGAGATGATATATTCCACCTCACGCATGACCACCTCAGGCATGTAAACTATCCAGCTGGCTGGGTCTTCAGGACAGGGCCAACTTCACCATCAGTTCAGCTTGTTCCACCATTTGTCGATTGAACTGAGGAACCACCAGGAGTGTCAAATGGCTCATAAGCCATCGGAAAACTTCCCACACCAGGATGACCATCATGGCATAAAGTATGCCAAAAAACTGACCAAAGACGCCTTGCGAAACATCTTCACCGTCCATAGCTGTCACTGGTACAGCAAGGCAGACGAGGACGCTTTTGAGCCCAAAACTTTTGGAAAAATAAATTGCTGCGGACAACCCCAATTCCCTAACGGAAAAACACTTAAATCCCGTTGGTTGCGGAGCTATCCCCTTTGAGGGTTCAGGATGGTTTTTCCCCTTACCTACCACATTAGAATTCCCCAAAAACCCAATTCCCCAAGTTGCAACCAGATCCCACGGTTCTGTGGAACCCGACCTTGGTACCACTTCGGCAGCTCGATGTTCTTTTCGATTGGACCTGGCACAATCCAAGTCCCAATGTCTCTCTTGTCCATCACCCAGGATGGTCTTAGGGATGGGTTCTTCTTTTTCATAACTGTGCAATTGGGCAACATGACCGTGATGATCTTGTACCCGCAAAACTTTCAAAACTGGTGGAATTTCATCCCAAAAATAAACCCTTTTTGGTTTTGAGTTACCCCTTTTGGTCTTATTACCCCGTTTTAGGATACCCCTAGGTTCTTCTTCTACAGGGTGTTCAACTTGTCCAGGAATGTTCTTCTTCTCCAAAAACGGTAAGACCGACTCCAACTGGAACCGATCCTTGACCACGGATTCAGTGACGCGATACGCATCAGCCAGTACTTGCACCAGCCTTCCAATGGCAGTGCTCAAGGCTTCATGCCGGAAATCGGCTAGTTCTGGATATTCCTCGGCCAGACCAACCACCTTTTTCACCACTGATACGCACCGACCAGCGATATCTCGGTAGTTGTCCCAGGAGGAAGTCTCCTGGTCTGGTTCTTCTGGACGTTGTTCTTCTCCCAGAGGTTGTTCTTCACGATGGTTGGACCCCATTGATGTTTCCTCATTTGGAACCCCGGAACCTTGGTGATTGACGAACCTCCAGAACCTTTCCCAACTGGGCTTCACAGCGATGATCTTCGTCAGGAAATCAGCCACAAGTTTTACCCCTGGAAGGTGACGGATGATCCAACTACCATCCTTTAACCGCTCCCTTAGGGCTGTTGCTCGCAACCGCAAGTGTCGAGTCCTCCACGGACCGTCAGGATTTTCCAAGATGGCTATTGCAGCCGTGTTGTCTCCGTAGATGATCTTCTGCCCGATTTTCCGTCCTTCCACGACCTCTATGAGAGACGCCAGAGAGTCTCCCATGACCATGGATTCCAAGTAGGACATCAATTCCCCTTCGGCGGTGCTCAACACCACAAAAGCTTGACGGCTGGCTTCCCATTGAACCAACCCTCCACCATAAAAACCTAGGATACCCTGCAGTGATCTTTCGCCCGCAGGTGCAAATGAAATGTCCGAGAACATTTCGACTTGCTGCATCTCCCGGTGAAATGGCAGATCATCTTCGGGACCACGATCATCACTTGTGCAAACCCCATAGCTGAGATGTTGAGTTTCGGTTCCCTTCAGGTAACCAAACACCTGTTGTGCGGTTTTCACCACCCATTGGGGCCGTTTGTCCACTTGTCTTCCCAATTGGCTGACGGCGAAACTGATATCCGGCCTTGTCCTTATGGACAACCACAACAACTCGCCCACCACCGTTTGAGCTTGTCGGATGTTTTCAAGTGCTGGTTGTTCTTCCGGAAGTTCGGCATCCGCTTTCGTCATCGGAACCGGTCTTGGGTGTTCTACTTGATGTCGATTCAACAGATCCCGAGTGTAGGACTGCTGTCCCACCTTCAACTTCTTGTGATCCCCTTGACCGCTCCATTGGAGCTCGAACCCACAAAATCGAACCCAGCCTTTGTGATCAACTTCTTCAGGAGTGGAGCAAGTCCATTCTTCCTTCAGCCTCTTCAAGAAGCTGTGTTTGGCGTGAGGTTCCGCAAGAACCATAAGATCGTCCACATAGACGACCACCAAACCCACTTGCCGATATCCATCAGGACGTACTTCTTCTCCCGGAGCGCCACCACCTTTACACAGGATTCTCCACAAATTTCCTTCCGGCGTTTGTTCCAGCTTGTACTCCTTCTGCATCTCCCCCGGGCTTGCATCTCCCTGCCATGTGAACCGCCGCATTGTTTGGTCGCGGTACACCGCCCAATGGGCAGGACTGGATTGAAACCCATACAGGGCCTTGTCGACAAGCCAGACCTCATCCGGTTGGGTAATCCCAAAATCAGTCATGATCCTGGGCGGCACCACCGCCACGGTTTTGGCACCTTGTTCCACCGGCCGAGGAGCCAGTAGAAAAGCGGTCTTGATGTCCGTCGTGGCTACATCCCATTGGTGATGAGCTGCCTTTCGCAAGGCACACCTTATCAGAACCCCGTCCGCTCCACTGGCATACAGCAGAGAGGAAGGCATGGGATCCGCTTCCGGTGATGCCAAGTTGCCGCAGATCACAGCACGACATGTGTATCTCCCTCCAGCCTTGATCACACAGACCAATTTCCCCGGCACCAATTCGGCTTCAGGGTCAATCTCGGACCTTTTGACTGGTCGGATAGCTTTTGTTTCTGCAGTCAAGGATTTGTACTCGGCGAGCATCGAGTCGTACCATTTTTCCTTTTCCATTCTCACCTTGTGGAGAGTGACTGTAACAGTTTGAAGTTGTTCTTCTCCACCGCTACCATCAGCTTGTGCTGAACAGACCCTTAGTTGGCACACTCGCCTTTCCTCTTCCATCCTTGCAGTTGTTACAGCTTCCAGTTCTTCTTCCAAATCTTCACGATGTTCTTGTAGAAGTCGTAGAACTTGTCCCTGTATGAAACCGTTTGTGGGATCCACTGGAACATTCGACAGTTCTTCCCTAATGGCTTCCACAACTCCAAGGTGTTGATCTTCTTTGACCTTCAACAGGTGTGTCAAGCTAACGTTTCTGACGATGAACTCCCCCGAGGTTGGACTTCTTTCGATGTGCTTCTCCCCCGAGTCTGGACCATCTTGTGCCGAAACCCTTGAAACTTTGATTTTTTCACTTTTGAAAAGGTTACCGGGCTCCCCCCCTGCTGACACTTCAGCAGGCTCTACTTTCATTTTTGAGATTTCCGGCCCAAGGCTGTCAATCTCTTCCACAGGAGCTTCCGGATCTTCTCGGTTGAGTTCTTCATAAAGCAAGTCGATTTCATCAGGCTCTTCATCTACTTCGAGCATTTCGCTCGGTTCGTATGGCTCTGAATCTTCAGGTGGTGATTCGTCAGGAGGTGGTAGCGGAGCGTCCCCAATGGTTGGCGGCAACCTCATGACACCTTCTGGCGGCGTCTTGGAGTAAAGCCGTCTGTGAGGCCTCTCAGGATTGTCTTCTATCTCTAACCTGATGCGGACCCGCTCCCCTTCCTCACTCGGAACAACCACTTCTCGAGCATGAACCACCTTTCCATCTTTCTGTTGGACTACCCAACCCGAGAACATCATTGGACTCGGACACAGTAGGCGTCCTTCTGTGTATGGAGACGGAATCGCCCCCTTTTTGAACCATCTTTTTGACCGAACCAAGACGTTGGCCCTGAAGGGCAGCATTGACAGTACGGGCACCCCCAGTTTCTCCAACTGTTGTCTCATTCGTTCTTCAGCACAATACCTCATGGCTTGAGGCCAGTCGGTCACCTCACTTCCTGCCACGCGGAGATACAGACGGGTTCGCCTTTTAAGCTGATTGACCTCTGATTCCACATGGCCGTTTGAGGCCGGGTCGTCTCCCTCCGTCATGCTCTGTCTTATAAGGCGCTCTGAGCACCATTTTTCAACCTTTTTTGACAGTAGCT